ACCCCCTTTTTTACTTTAAATGAAAAGCCAAAAAGTGATTCCAATTATCTAGTAGGCTTCTAACCTAGATACATCGATAGACAATATAGAACTGTATATAAGACTCATTTTTGACCAAAGCGGCATTTCATTTGTTTTTCGTTTCCACCGTCATTATTAAGACAATACGTCTGATACTTATTTGCGTGAAACATAGTACCAAACCAATTTCCTTTTCTAGTATTCATGTCAAACTACATTTACAGGATTTGTTGAGCCATCAGGTACATTTGTTAAGTTTTTCTGAGATTTTCTATTCCAAGTTGGAATTGGAAATGCAGACGCAAATTATTTCACCGTATTCCAAGAGTAGCTCGATAGGTTTGTGATTGATCCACGGGAAATCTATAAAACAGTTCTCTAAATCTATCCACTTTAAATTAGGCTTGTTGAAAATATATCGATGTATCGATATATCTATATTATATATATGCATATCACGATCTAACTAAATTCGTATCTGGAAAAATCGTAACTGGATCTCAGATTAATGATATTCAACATATCTATGATCTGTGCTGTATTTAGTATTGTCTATGTCATCATTCGAAAATAGGGTCTATTTTTAGGGAGATAATTTTCGTTCCATTATTATTCCGCGTGTCAGATTTCGTGAGCTACTGTACGATATTTTTGGGAAAATTGGTCCGATATATCGATATATCGATGTCTTTTTCGCGATATATCGAAGCCGATATTGATATTTTTTAAAAGATCGATGTTTCGATATATCGATATTTTTTTCAACTTTCGACATCCCTACTTTAAATATAAATGACTACACGACAACAAATAGCCAATCAATAAAATACAGAACGTCGCGAATTCCACAAAATGGCAGCCATTATCTTACAATGAAATAGTGAATAGGCTATTTGACAGTATTAAAAATAGAGTGCCAATTGTTAGCATCCATGTTTAGAATGAATATCGGCAGGGATTTTCACTATTTTTACAGAAATAATATTCATAATTTTACTAAAAACCCACGAAAAAGAAAATAGTTTTCTTATCTATTGTCACGTGACCCAAAACGAGTCACACACCATTGAGACGCCATATTGTCCAGAGAAACGTTTTCGCGGCAACTTGAAAATGGAGTTTTAGATTTGGTTATTTTTACTGAAATACACAACAGAATGATGAATATCCACTTTTTACGAACTCCATAAACATTAGTCAATAACGTGAGATCGTTTTCTAAAACTTGTCAAATACCCTATTGAATAATAAATATTTCTAACACACACCAATCAGCCTAGCCCCAAAGTAAGCACTGTAAAGCTTATGATATGAGATACTGGAGTATCGCATAGAATACATACACTGATACATATATAAGTATATTTATCTAGAAACATATACCTATAAACATAAATAACTTGGGTACAAATTGCTCGCATTCATCATATTAATATTTGCCCCACCGGAATTCGAATCTAGGACCACAGAGTAGGCGACACCACGAAACCCGGCTTACACACCACTCGGCCAAGGAGTTCTTCAATAATTAAATAAAATAAATTGTTTAACAGGTTCCGTGCGTCATAAACTTAAAATGGCCATATAGGACTTTACCGCGGTGCCGTGCTAAAAATACAGCGCTTAGAATAATCCATTCCCGTTTAGTGACGTATGAATTTATCAAATTAGGAATATAATCCGAATATCAAAATGGCATCCTTTTCCGGGCTATCTTTTTTTTAGTCTGCGACTTTCTCCGGCTTCACAGAAATTTCGCTTCCGTCCCGTAGTGTATGACCGATCTGTGATCGAATATCAGAACTCGCATTTGTACGCACCTTAGTGCACTAGCCTATAGTACCATGGTGACGTGCAGTGCAACACGTTGCATCGTCTCTGATCCGTCATAGCGGACGCCTCCGCCACTGGGCCAGCCGACGCCGCGGCGAGCGCACCTCTCCGGAAATAGGTATGTCACCTATTTTTCAAAAACTTTCTATTCCGGGTTGTATTGAAATATTAATTTGTATTCCCATGAATTTCAAATAAAAATACAATGCTTTGGAATTAATTTTCAAATTCTTATTTTTTTGGGGCCAGTAATTTCCGATTTCTCCTCTCCCTATCTCTTTAAAAAAAAGTTTTCATTGATTATTTTAAGCATTTTAGTTTAATTTCATTACAACAAATATGTTGTCGTTGACAACCAATGATTTTTTGTATGCTAAATAATTTTTGTTTTACCCACCGTTTGATTTATATTTTTTTTTTTATAATATGTTTTAAAAATCCAAAAAAAATATCGTGATATCGATACACTTAGGAGATTTCTTATAATTATGTTGCAATCTGAATATATTTCAGCACTGTATGCTAGGATAATTGTTGCAGTGTGCTGTATAACATTAACTTAATGCAAAGACCAGTATCGCCAACTTAGCCCATCGCCCTTTTGCAGTTCGCTTTGTATAAGCATTTCGAGATATTCAAATTTCTTTTGTTCACAACCACGAGAGATCCTTAAGTAGGACAAACCTGTGAATTAGTTGACAATAGTAATTTGGGTTTTTAGAAAAGTGTTGAAAAGTTTACAGTCTCGTTGTTTCACGCGATAGAAATATGTAATAAACTGCTTGAGACAATTCTGGAGCTTACCGAAGCCATATTCTTTGGAGTTGAAAGTATATTAATTGTATTGTAACAAATAAATCTCGCTTTTTAAATAGTTCACCATTATTAAATTAATAAAAAAATTATGTAGGTACTTGAAGATTCAATCTGAGAACTGTACTTTTTTTTATTTTCTTTTTGTAAGTAAGGTAAGGTTTGGTTTCTCATTGTTTTTTAGTAAATGGTATATCATATATTGAGGAACTCGATGGCGCAGGTGGATAGCGCGTTCGGCTGCAATCGTTGAAGTTAAGCAACTTTCGCAGTGGTCATTGGATGGGTGACCAAAATCTTCTCGAGTTCCTCCGTGCTTCGGAAGGCACGTTAAGCCGTTGGACCCGGCTGCATCTGCAGTCGTGAGCACCCGCCAATCCGCATTGGGCCCGCGTGGTGGGTCATGGCCCAATCTCCCTATTCCATTCATAGGGAAGGCCTGTGCCCCAGCAGTGGGGGCATTAATAGGCTGATGATGATGATGATTCATATATTCCTCAATTTTTATGCAAATATTGTTCCTTATACCAGAAGAGTTATCGGAGTTGTGGATTTTGAGTAACATTCATTTGTTATTAAAAAATATAACATCATTGCTAACCGCTAAACATTACTTAACAAAATAAACAAATCTCATAAACTCAATAAAACTTTTATCATAATTTCTAATATTCATGTAATGCTAAAGCGAAACCGAAAAGCTATTTTAGAAGGTAGTTTTAAAAAAAAATTAATACGACCAACATCTCAGTATTAAGACACGGAACAGTTAACACGGTACGTGGAAAGTTAACTAAAGTTTTAAAACAGTGAAATTTGTGATGTGGACAACAATTAATATGAAACTTTGATAAAAATAATTTGTCTTCTAATGTTTGCTTAAGAACAAATCGCAGTGGCCGGACGTGGAATTTGTGTGATTTTCCATCACTAATTATTTCTCCGTGCATATGAAGTACAATTTATTATTAATAAATGTAAATATATCTAATTCAAATTATTATAGTTAATGATAGTGAATATAGTTAGAAGTAAGTAAGTTCGGGCATACCGCATTCACATTCCACGTGGAGACTAGGGTTATCTTTATATATATAATTCTTCTGTGAGTGTGTATGTCACTGAACTTCTCTTAAACGACTGGACCGATTTTGATGATTTTTTTGTGTGTGTTCAAGGGGATCTGAGAATGGTTTAGATTCACAATTTTGTCCGCTGGACAACCCCTATTTTTTTAGGGCGGTACGAAGTTCGCTGGGTCAGCTAGTCTTTATATATATAATTCTTCTGTGAGCGTGTATGTCACTGAACTTCTCTTAAACGACTGGACCGATTTTGATGAAATTTTTTGTGTGTGTTCAAGGGGATCTGAGAATGGTTTAGATTCACAATTTCGTCCGCTGGACAACCCCTATTTTTTTAGGGCGGTACGAAGTTCGCTGGGTCAACTAGTTGCACTATAATTTCGATTGGGCGGAGCATACTTCCACGGACTTCCGTTGCAATTCAAACTTGCTGTGTCTTAAAAAATCCCCTTCAAATTTTTTTTGTATCGTTTTTGTTTAGGAGCTTTTGTCCGATGACAGGACAGCTCCATCGAAACAAACTAACAAGTACTGAACTACTTAATTAAGAATTGTAAAATTATTACATTAGATATCGTACTTCTGTAATATAAAATTTACTTTTGGTCTTTGCAAGAAAGAAAGAAGCAAACAGAAGTTCACAGTAAAATAGCACTATCTTTTGGTGTGTGTCTTGTGTTTCTGTCGGTGAAAGGTCTGTCCACGAGGTAGGGGATTGGTTTCAGGGTAGACAACGATGTGAGATATATACATGCTATGGAGACATCTGATTAAAATTATAACTCAGATTTGGCATTTCCACTGTCGATATATAACTCATACTAACAAACCAGTGAACCAATTGTTCACGAAAAACCTGATTAAAAAAAAATGTATTTAATTAATTGAGAACTACGGAGATTTTGTGTGGTTTCGTTTGAAATTCGTGATTTCTCGAAAACCGGAAGTGCTACGTTACTCAAATCCGCTTTGTAGTCTTATCAGACTATTCTTAACTTATAACTTAAATATTCTCTTTATCTATCTCTTACGGTTTGACCGCTGAAACAGCACCACAGACAGACGGACGGACTTGTCTAATAGATAAGAGATAGGACCAAAGTGGCGTATAAAAGATTTTGCCTTTCCACTGTAAATTAAGGTAGACCGATATACATGAAGATCTTTGACGAAGACCTATGCTCAACAGTGAGCGCCGTTTAGTTGAATGACGATGATGAAGTTTTAACAGTTTGATTTTCTTTATAGGGTTTCTTCCGGAGAAGCATCCAGAAGCAGATAGAGTACAGATGCCTGCGTGACGGCAAGTGTGTGGTGATCAGGCTGAACCGGAACCGCTGCCAGTTCTGCCGTTTCAAAAAGTGCCTTACGGTGGGCATGAGCCGGGACTGTGAGTACCTTCTTCATTTATCATCCGTATACGTCCTTATTGACTTTAGTCTTGTCCTTTATTTAACTTGCGTGGAGCTCGATGGCGAAAGTAACAAGCGCGTTCGGCTACGATCGTTGAAGTCAAGCAACTTTAGCAGTGGTCGGTCATTGGATGGGTGACCAAATTTACTATCTCGAGCTCCACCGTGCTTTGGAAGGTATGTTAAGCTATTGGTCCCTGCTGCTGTAGTCGTTAGCACCCACCAATCCGCACTGGGCCCACGTGGTGGATCATGGCCAAATCTCTCTATTCCATCCATAGGGAAGGCCTGTGCCCCACCAGTGGGGACATTAATAGGCTGATGATGATGATGATGATGATGATCACAAAAAACTGCTTATAGTCCCGTGGGTAGGCCCCGCGGCCTTCCCTATGCCAATTTAATTAAATAAAATTGATGAGCTGGCGAACAATACGATATAATTATGCATCAGCCCCACTAGCATGACCACCGAAACGGGATATGATAAAGCGATATATCGACATTAACTGTCAGACTACTGTCAAACTCCATAGTAGTCTGACAGTTAATGCCGATATATCGCTTTATCATATCTCGTTTCGGTGGTCATGCTATAGGGGCTGATGCATAATTATATCGTTTTGTTCGCCAGCTCATCAATTTTAATTCATTTTTAGATAGCGGCTTTTGTGTATGTTTCTAGTTGTAAGCCTCGACCAATTTGGTTTTTTATGAACGGGTTTTTAAGAAAATCTTCTCAGATTCTACATCACCTGATAGTTTAGTGTTAGCGGAGTCCAGTTACCAAGATAAAGGAAAGTAGCATGGCACAGATCTGGTTATAATTCACTATTAAAAAATAAGAAGACTAAATCTAAAGAAAAGTTTACTAGAAAAAAAAATCCACGCGGACCAGGCAGCGGACGGGACTCGAACCCGCATCCTTCGCTATCCGGGCGAATGCACTGACCATTATGCTACCACGGCCCTATTCGCCGCGTCGAAATTTTCCTAGCCTTAAGCTGCAAGGCAGCGCCATCTCTTCGCATTGTAGGTAACCCACAATGTCAAATGAATACTTTTTCAAGTATTAAACATTTGAAAGAAGAAATAGCAATGCGAAGAGATGGCGCTGCCTTGCAGCTTAAGGCTAGGAAAATTTCGACGCGGCGAATAGGGCCGTGGTAGCATAATGGTCAGTGCATTCGCCCGGATTGCGAAAGGTGCGAGTCCCGTCCGCTGCCTGGTCCGCGTGGATTTTTTTTTCTAGTAAACTTTTCTTTAGATTTAAACATCTAGCAGTTAAATGCTTAAAAAATAAATAAAATCATAAGAAGAATAAATTTAGTTATAATTTTTATTTTTTAAAGCATGTAACTGCTTGATGTTCGAATCTAAAAAAATATTACTGGAAAGAAATCCACGTTACATGCTATAAAAAATAAAAATTATAACTATAATTGCTATTTTTTCTTTCAAATGTTTAATACTTGTAAAAGTATTCATTTGACATTGTGTGTTACCTACACCCATACCCATACCTACCATGACCTATAATGCGAAGAGATGGCGCTGCCTTGCAGCTTAAGAATGGCTAGAGGAATTTCGGCGTGGTCCGTGAGGGCAGCGGTAGCATAATTGGTCAGTGCATTCGCCCGGATTGCGATGGGTGCGGGTTCGAGTCCCGTCTGCTGCCTGGTCCGCATGGATTTTTTCTAAGAATAAATTTATAAAAAAATCTATTTTTCTTCGGTATCTGTATATCAAAATAAAAAACGGAACCTTTTTAGGTACGCTCCATTCCCCGCACTTTTTCATGAAAAGTCGTTTAGATGCGCTGAAATATAAAGTTGATATTAATATCAAAGAACCGGAGTAGGTATATGACTATTATGAGCATTGAAAAAAATATGATTTAAATCATCGCAATTTCCAATATACGGCACATTATGCCGCATATTTTGACGATCGCAAATAATAATGCACACGTAAATGAATAATTAAAATAAAATACAAAATAGAACTCAATTTAATTCAATTTGTTAGGTTAACTTATTTCTTACGTGTTTTCGACAAGTTTTTACTGTCAGGGAAATTAGCAGCTGTCAAATTCTATTTTACACACCGCAACACATCGCATAACAAAAATCTTCCCACATAACTATCATATATTTTGTATGAACTATCGCACACCACAGGCGGGCAGCACTAGGCAGATCCACAGAACACAGAAACAGGTTATTAGTTAGGGGCAAGCGCGCTACAGTTATGTGTGAGCAAATGCTCATAACTTGACCAAAACTTGGTTTTGCTAGCTAGGCGTATTTTTGCTACGATTTTATGTATTGTGATGCGGTTGATTCAATTATTACGTTACGGTGCGCCCCGATACCACTCCAATGTGCTTTGATGAAAGCACACCTAAGCACGTCTTAGAGTACCCCAACGACGAAATTACTCGCGCCAACGCGCCTCCGACTCATCCCACACAGGCCACAAACACCAACACTACACAGCTAGAATACTTGCACACTAGCTTAGCATTAGGCAGACACCGCACCCGTATGATAGGAGTGCAAAAACCCAGTCTATACACAACCCGCTATACTAGGTACAGGTACGTTACCACGACACGACAACGGCTAACTAGAGCCGAGATCCGAGTCTCAGAGACGCCCTCTAGTTGAGCCGACTCCTCGAGGTTCGAGTGGTCTAGAGGCTCCAGACGGAGAGGAGACTCCCCCGTAGGGAGATGGCATCCGCCTGGAATACCTCTAGAGGTACTTCGCCAATTCTCGGCTTGAGGTCCCCTTAGGATCTCGCCGTCCCCAAACCCGGTAACGCTATAAAGGTCATCTGAGACCAACTCAAAAATTTATGCAATTTTGCAATGCGGTGCTCTGCGGCCTTTCGCGGCTGTAATAAGCGCGAGCCCTAAGTGGACAGTTGACGAGCGGTCGTCCTTTGTTATTGATCCCATTAATCATCGGCGCTACTGATGAGACGCACACGTGGACAGATGCGGTCTTATATTGCATCGATATTGATCGAACTGCAACCTTCGAATTGATAAACAAATGAACGGCCGCACTCAGGGATGCTATTTAATTTTTAGTTTGCTTGTACTTTATGCTGTCTTTGTTTGCGATAGCGACCTTGCTTATAAAGACGATACTTCACAGTGACCAGCAGCAACGTAGAGAGTACGGCGATCAATTTTTACATGAAAGTCAGGTATTGAAGTATTGGTATAGAAATTGTTCTTAAAACATGGATTGAATCTTAGCTTTAAAAAAGATTATAATTTCGTAGTTAAACTTCATATTAATTACAAGATAATGCGTACATCATGGTGGTTTGGTCCATATTTTTTAGGGCTTCAGCGCTCTGGTATATACCCGGCGCCACTTACCAACGCGTCGGGGCTGAGTGGGTCTGCTTGGGGACCCCAAGGACCCAGAATGGGTCCAGGAGGACCCTCCTCGAGACCGTTCCCCAGCTTCTTTCCAACTCGTTACTACTTCGCAAAAGATCTTGACCACTCTCCAAGCCCTGTCGCTGCCAACCTTAGTATGAACTACAGCCGTCAGCGGCAAGTCTCTGCCGATCACAACTGTCACAGCAGCCCACCTCCTGTTCCCATGTGGGACACACCTCTAGGATGTGCTGTACCATGTTTTCGGGCGCACTACACTCATGGCAGACGGTTGTTCGCTCCCTATCCGCAATGTTGCACAGATACCTAACACCCATGTCCCAAAAGGACCTACACCATGCGATAAGAGAGGAAATCGCTTCGTCTCGCCACCTATTCATCTAGAACCAGATGAATAGCCCCAATGGTACGATGTCCATCACTCGGCTCTTGTAGCATTCGTTAGCCAAGTAATAACTATCCGGTTAGAGGATTTCCACTATGAAGTCTTGCGTCTACGGTTCTAAAATAAACGCAAAAACCTCTGCATCTCTCTGCATGCCGCCTCACAGGAAACAGTACGATATGCCCGGATTTTTCTAACTGCCACGACCCACTGCGCTCTCTGCCTTCACCTGTCAAAACTTTACATATTCTGTAAAAAAAAAAATTTAACCTTTTTGACTGTCTAGTGTTTCAATTGGTGAGTAATGTTTTAGGGGTTCCACGCTGTAGGGGATTGTTTCCAGGTCCAACGATGCGAGAATGTCTTTAGCGGCATATAGTGACGTGAACCTAACCACCATCCCCGTAGAACTCTGGTACTTTACTAACCAATGGAAACTCGACACCGCCAAAAATTAGTGTTACGAATTCCTCTATACTTTACCTCTCTAAAGTTTGCTATCTTTACAACTGGATTCCACTTACACTAAACATCAGCTGATGAAGTAAGGTAATTTGTTGCAACTGTCTTAAAAAAATATTTTTTTGTTTTTTTGTTGTACTCGTTAGATACTTTTTGACTTATCTAAAATAGGGGTCAAATGTGACGCTGTTTTGGATAAATGACAGACTTGTTTAGGAGAAAAAATAATAGGCCTTAAGCACCCATTCGCGGTTCATAGCCCCGCGCATTAGATCAACGTCCGATCGTGGTATCGCGGCGTCATAGCCATTTTTCAATTGTGGCTTGTTTCGGCTGCACTCCATCATTTGCACCGACCCAATTCCTTTGTGCGCGCGCGCCGCTCCATTAGTGACGTGACAAATATATATGTAGCCATAGCGATACAATTCACTACCTTGGCAATTTGTATCAATGCGGTTGTTTGCGATACTTATAGTACAAAATCCGAAGAGAGGTCTTCTTTCGACCACATGCTTACCAGACGAAAAGTATGTTTTATTTCATTGTCCGAATTGTATTGTTGTTGTTAATTCAACCCATAACAATCCCCATTGACGTGTGACGCTGCGACGCATGCTTAGATCCTTGTCTTATGTAAGCGATTGTGTGAATAAAGAAAGCACTCCACTAACTCGATTCTGCGATCAAATCATAAACCCCTCTATGTTGGTCATTGTTTTAGTATACTAAATTTTATTAATTTGTTGGTTTAGCTGTCCGCTATGGTCGTGTGCCCAAGCGTCCTCGCGAAGTGTCCCATGCTGAGAGTATGACAGATATAGCTCGCAACTTGAGCATCTCTGGAATTGTGCCCCTGTCCAATATTGAAGACATGGATCCCGAATCACTGCGCCTCGGTGTCACCAAGGAGCTGATAAAGCTCGTCACTTCTGCTCATCGCAGCTACAACACCTATACTGATGAACTGCGTCGCAGTCTGCAGCATCAGCATCGTCATCTGGCACTGAAGGCGACTCAGTCGGTTGACGACTCGGACAACGAAGGTGAGTCTCCTCTACTGATGACACAGGTAGTATAATGAACTAGCCACACAAACACTTAACTGAATTCTTGCCTGCGGTGAAATTTTGACAAGAATGTGCCTGCCGCCCGCATCTCTCACCTTCCCCGTTCTCATCCTCCCACACACCCTTTACCCCGTATGCGAGGACTCAGTTAAGCGGTCCACCTATAATAACACACAAATGCAAAGGCGAATAGATCATACAGTACAAATTTCAAATCACAGGCGAGCCCAAGCAGTAAAATTAATAGTTCATTTGAATTAAAAAAATAGGAATATGAAGATAATATATATATCCAATTTTGTATCGTTTTCGTTTGGAAATGTATCTAAAAGCAGATAATGTCTATTCTTTCTAGGAAAATAGATGAAACAAGTAAGCTTTGCCTTGACTACATGTTCACCCTCTGTGCTTAGTAGGTCATTTCTGGTTTTATTTTTTTTGTTTCCTCCCAGGCGGGGGAGAGGGTGAGAAATCCTCATGGATACCCTACAGCCGGCTGTAGGGTTATGTCAGACTCTTACTGACTAAAAAACACCCTTTAATCATGCTTATGGCCAGAAGGGCCTTACAAGCTTCATCTGAAGCGATCATACTCCGAGAGGGGGATGATGCGGCGCTGCGTTAGTTTAAACTAGTGCATAGTTTAAAATAACGCAAAATGCGCTTAGAGGACAAGTGCACTCAGATGTGCACTTGGAACGGGAGGGGACTGAGCGGAATCGAACCTCTCTGTGTGGGGGGGCGGGGTCATTTCCGGTTTGAAGCGTTTTGCGCGCGTATTGAGTTGCTTCGGTTCTGCGTCTGTGAATGAAAACTATAATTATTTTTAAAGGTGAAACGAGAATAATAATAATGTCAAGATGTTTTGTAATTCATTCATTATATTTTTGCAACCTTACCATGGCCTGGCATCATAATAAATAAATAAATAATTATCAGCCTTTTTATAACCCAGGTGATTAAAGCCCAAGCTCTAATTTTGGGATTAACTCGAATGTGGCAGAATAACGTAATCCTTGCACCTCGTGAAGAACTCGCACCATAGCTGAGCCCTTATAATATACAGTCAAAGACTATGGTAGCAAAGAAAAAAAATCAACTGTCGGCCATAACTTTTAGTCTGCCCAAATCTTTTGAATAGGAGCTACTGGGCGGTTCACGTAACATCGCTTCTCATTTCAATATCTGACGCCCTCGATTGTTTTGTCCCCCTATTTTCTTCTACCCCTTCGTACGGGTACGGCCAGAGTGCACTCAGATTCAGATTCCGAAAACAAGCGCGAGAAATAAACAGTGTAGTCTAAGCAGGTTGCCTGCATTTTTTCGCGCTTGTTTTCTGAGTCTGAATCTGAATCTGAATCAGGAGTGCACTCTGGCCGTACCCTTCGACTACACTGTTTATTTCTCGCGCTTGTTTTCGGAATCTGAATCTGAATCTGAGTGCACTCTGGCCGTACCCTACGGCCGCCCCCACTCCCATACAAACCGGCAGATTTATAAGTATTTTTCGTCATCAGATACGTTACGTGAACTATCCAGTTAGTAAGTTTGATTAAAACGAAAATGACCATGGCAAACGGTATCGGGTATTTATAATGCAATAGGGTCCGACAAAATGTGACTTTGACAGGCCTCAATTGATTATAAAACTGATTATTTAATTTTATTGACGTTTTCCAATGCGACCTTTATATTATTTCTTGCTGGGCGAATGTTTATAACCATTTGAGTATTTTTCTAGTTGCAATTGCTAATTATCTAATTACGTAGAATAGCCACCTTACTTAGTTAGTGTACCTATTAGTACACTCAGAAGGAATAAATATTATTTTTTAATCATACTTAAAAATTAATAGACCTCTCTATTATTGCCTCATTAAGACACACGCGCGCGAGCGTTACCCTTTCAATAATTATATAACAAAATTTCGTAGCTAACGTAGCTGAGGTAGCTCTATAAATCGCAGTCAGATTGTTTCAATGACGCGTCCTGAATCGCCAACACTCCAACCTCTCCATGGAAAGTACCATATTCTATGTTTACATTAGGTTCGCCATCGGACGGCAACGGCGAGGAGGCCGCGAGCTCCACCACTGACAGGGTAACGGACAGCCGCTCCGTGCTGTGGTGCAACCTGGCATTGCGCATGACGCCGGCTGTACAGCAGGTGGTGGAGTTTGCCAAGCGACTGCCAGGCTTCCACACCCTGCCGCAAGACGACCAGCTGATTCTCATCAAGGTGAGACACGACGTAACTAAGGATCTCTTATCTATTAGACAAGTCCGTCCGTCTGTCTGTCTGTGGTGCTGTTTCAGCGGCCAACCCGTAAAAGATGTTAAGAATAGTCTGATAAGACTACAAACCGGATTTGAGTAACGTAGCACTTCCGGTTTTCGAGAAATCACGAATTTGAAACGAAACCACACAAAATCTCCGAAGTTCGATTTTTTTTTTTTTTTTAATTCAGGTTTTGGTGAACATTTGGTTCACTGGTTTGCTAGTACTTCATAATAGGTAATGACGTGGTTTCGTCATCACAAAAACTATTGTAGGGTCACTGATGAATGTGGAATACACAAATCTCGATCACTGCAACAATACACGATACATCACGGTCCACATAATATGAATTATCCTTTATACGGCTCAAGTGGTAGGTAATAAAAGCTCTTAGCCCATGCAAGCTTTGCCATCCCTTTTGTTTGTTCATCTGTAACATCTAGTAAGGCAAGGGCGGACCCAAGGGGGGGGGGGGGGCTCATGGGTGTCATGACCCCCCCTGGGCTGGGTCCATCTGTACCCACTTCACAATCTTTACCCACTGTGACTTGACCACGACTATATGACCCCCCCCTGGCGCCAAAGCTGGATCCGCCCTTGTAGCGAGGTCAATTCGCCAGTGTTATTGTGACATGAACCTAGTTTAAGCTTGCGCTATTTAAAATATCTAATAAAATGCCTTGGCAAAATATGACATTTACTAACGATTTCGTAAAAGCATAGTTTCTATAGCAAAGCGAATATTTTTGTATTATTTGCAAATTGCAATTGCAATCTTTAGCTAGCGAAAGTAATTCTTTTGACGAACTAAACGTAAGTGTGCTGAGCTCTCTAAATACATTTATGTATCTATACAACATGAAGATGATAAGAGTGTGCTGATCTGCGATTGCCAATATATAGCGTTTTAAGTGCACTATTCGCAAATGGAATGCTTTGCTCGCTCACGTGTTCCCTCCCTCCTACTGGGATCCTTTTAAAGAGGCGTGAAAAAGCAACATTCAGGCCGGCAAGGTGAGGATGGCTGGTATGGCAGGTATAACTGTTGTACCAGCTATCTTCGCGACTGGACTCTACTGCGATGGAATCATTTGTCGGACCTATTCATTTAAAAACATATAAATAGGCTAGTTTACTCATGTCAAATTGTACTATACAAATGTTTATATCTTATAATGTTTGGTATGAGGAACCTAAATACATCGATTTCACTTCATAAAATTAGAAGATGGCTGTATTAATTTAATTTGACAAATGTTTTTTCGTCTATGCTTTTTAAACACTAGAAACGCTGTCCACCATGATTGTGTCGTCACAAAATTTGTAAACAACTAAACATAATTGTCGTGTTACTGTGGTTTCTTTCGTCGGAATAATATATACTCGAGATATCTAAAAACTCTTATATCTTGCAGAAAAGTTTCCGTTTATTGGTTTTGTTGACTGAATTAATGCTGGACGCAGGATTTGTGAAAGCAAAACCGGCAAAACTCTTTGACTTAGTAGATACATTCATGACCTTAAAAACTGTATTTAAACTCTAAATAATATTCAATGAGAACTTACATCCAAGTGGTCTTTGCAAAAAGAAATGACTTTCTGTCGATAAAGTTACGGGATTTAGCAAGTTTTAAACATGTGTTCATGTAAATATGTAAGTATGTTTATATCTCTAGGCAATTTAAACCACAACTTTTCTGGAGTCTTGAACATTCTCGTATAATACAATCGTGATAATAACTATATTTTCATGTAATCTATTAGAAATCATGGTTTTATAATATAAACTCAAATAAGTTATTTCCTACGTGCTTGCGAGTGTTTGTTTACAAATGTTTTGACGTCATAGCATAGATAACTCTATAGATTAAAATGGCCGACAACGTTTTTGTATGTCCATGCTACGGAACTTTAGTTATATAAATCTATTTTTTAACTAAAGTTCCGTAGCTTTCTAGGTCAAAAATGAAACCAATACATTTTTTTCGGTCTAATAGAACAATTATTAACCATTTAAAACATATTTCCAAAAAGTGTCAACTAGCCTATTGGACCCTGTCAGTGTTGCGTTCTGTCCGCAGCTAGGGTTCTTCGAAGTGTGGCTGACCAGAGTTACGCGCCTCTCCACCCCAGAGTGCGTGGTCTTTGATGACGGCACCACGCTAACTCGGAAGCAGCTTGAGGTCATATACGATGTGAGTTGATGTTGCTCATAATTATTTACTTTTATTATTTGTTTGAGGAGCTCGATGGCGCGGGTGGTCAGCGCGTTCGGCTGCGATCGTTGAAGTTAAGCAACTTTCTCAGTGGTCAGTCATTGGATGGATGACCAAAAACCTTCTATCTCGAGTTCTTCCGTGCTTCGGAAGGTACGTTAAGCCGTTGGTCCCGGCTGCATCTGCAGTCGTTAGCACCCGCCAATCCGCACTGGGCCTGCTTGGTGGTTCATGGCCCAATCTTCCTATTCCATCCATAGGGAAGGCCTGTGCCCCAGCTCCTCAAGTATATACCTTGGTGTAAACGAGGAATTAGAACTCCCTATACAATTTTTTTTTTCTCCCTTTTACCTTCCATAAAAAAATCATCGATCACAGTTTGAAGGGCTTATACGCGATATTCCTAATGTATATAGGCTAAAATTTTGAAACTCTTATATAACAATACTGGCTGTCCCAGCGAACTTCGTACCGCCATAATAAAATAGGGGTTGGTGGTAGAAGGGGGAAAATTTAGGGTTGTATGTAGTTTTGAATGATGTATCATAAAAAAATTTAAAAAAAATTATCTAAAATTGAAAAAAAAATTAGGTGTGGATTACCCTTAACATTTAGGGGGATGAAAAATAGATTACATCCGATTCTCAGACCTATTGAATATGCATATAAAATTTCACGAAAATCGGTGGAGCCGTTTCGGAGGAGTTTAACCACAAACACCGCAACACGAGAATTTTATATATTAGATAATAGGGATGAAGACTATTTTTTTTTTCTTCGTTCATCAGGTAGATTATCAAAAAGTATTGGACACGTATTTTTTCTTTTTTCACATAATATAAACATTGCAGAGACATATTGATTTGAAAAGTCGCATGACGTCACGTTTTGGTGCAATTTTCACTTAAAATTGACGTCACGAGCTTCTACTTCCAAACTTTGACGCGCTATAACTTTGTCATTTATTGGTTGATTGCCCAAAGAAAAAATACGTGTCTATTATTTTTTGATCATCTAACTGACGGACTAAATAGAATTTCGTTTACTGTACCCCTTCATCACCCCTATTGTTGGGTCACGTTTAACTTATATAACGCTTCAAAAAGACTTGTTATGTGAAAAAGTCCATGCATCGGCTCTTAAAGGACATCGACGAAATCGGCCCTAGCATGCCCAAAAGAATGTCCTTCACTATTATTTTTTTTAATTTATTAGCAATTAATCATAGTAAACGGACAATATGTTTAAAAAAATAAAAAATAAAAGTTCTGTTACTAGATACTACAGTCCGTTCATCCTAAATTGTCCTATTTGGTAAACAATCTTAGCACTCCTTTTTATTGAAAATACAGCATTAAAAATCAACTGATAACTGGATTCAATAGGTTTCAGTCTATAATAACGATTTATTTTAATAGTTTATTGGCTTCGTTATTATTTCATTTTTAAATGGGTGAATTTGTAAAAAAGTTGTGCCAAGATTGTTTACCTTAATAAAATAATGCAATATAGGCGACCATAAGTATTTATCAACTTATGAATAGAACTAGGTACCTTAGTTAATCCTTAGTTAATAATACTTGTCACTAGTATTGATATTATATTTATAAAAAACATTATTTCTTAAATTATTATAAGTAAAGATAGTTTATACTCCCATCCCATATAATATCTGTTTATTTTTATGAAAATCATAATGATAACCGGATACATACCTTATTACCGATACTAAAATATAGAAACAGGTAAATGGAAAGACTTTGAACATTTCATTTGAAGAGAAATCTATTATTACAACAGGTAGGTATAGGTATCATAGGTGCCAACTGCCAACACTCATAAATCAATATGAATATAAGCATTTATTATTTTTATTATTAATTGCATTTTATGTTCATTTAATACATATTATTTAAGTGCTTACATAGAGGTACACAATTAATCTATTCAGAATATATAAAGTGTACATCTTTTTCGATTAAGTATAATATTATAACCTCCAAATCTAATACATTATGTAGTAGGCCACTGTTCCTCAAGTTGTTCGTATCTCAACAAATGCCTTATTAGAGTTAATGAATGATTCCGAACACAACTAGCATTTTCTAGTTGCTGTGCGTTCCAGGGCATTCAATATATGGGGAACGAGCAATGTCCTTTCGTTAGCAATTTTGATAGGTAGGTACGCATGAAAATTTGCCTTTTCAAATGGAACATGTGTTAATAGCAACGAGGCACAGGACAGTTTCGACACTTAGTTTCCGAGCTGTGTGCATAGGCTGCCCTACTTGTAGCCAAATTTACATTAGCACAGTGCACAGATGTCCACGTGTCCCTTGTCACCTAAATACAGCTCGATCATATTCAAATGCACTGTAGAGGTATGACCAGGGCCGGATTTAGAGGTCCAGAGGCCTCGGGGCAACAGAGGAGCGGAGGCCCCCTCACTACAAATTATTTTCCAAATGAAGTAAACAATTTTTTTCAGTCGAGTTTTTCAATAAATAATTTATTGTGAACCAAGTAGATTCCCTTAGTGTTGAACAAACACATATAAATATAAACGGAAACAAAAATTATCTGAAATTAAATCTTAGAGTTAACGAACGGGACCTTTCGAGCTTTTTTCGCCGAAAAATCGTTGATGATTTCGATTTTTTTTCTATCTCTATTCTATTGTGGGGGCCCCCCGTTTGTGGGGGCTTTCGCCCCGGTTGCCCTCCCCTAAATCCGGCAGTGGGCATCACATTCGGTTCTACCACTACGAATGATTAACGCTCGCGTTTCCTATTAATTTATAGATAGTGCATTCTGTCGAAATGTCACTGAACGCGGTTACCCTTTTTTTGTACGTATTGTATTGATTTGTTAGATTGAAATTTTCATTACATCGCTAAGATTTTTTGTTCGTCTTTAGCATGCCTCATTTCATTACGTTTTAAAGATGACGACTGACGACCTCCGTGGCCGAGTGGTTTGTACGCCGGGTTTCATGGCGTCGCCGACTCGAGAGGTCCCGGGTTCGAATCCCGGTGGGGCACTTGTATGTGTGATGAACGCGAGCATTTGTACTCCAGTCATGGATGTTTAATATGTATTTCAATATAAATATACTTATATAAGTGAAGTACATGTCTTCTATCCGTTGCCCTAGTAATCCCATAACACAAGCCTTACAGTGCTTACTTTGGGGCTAGGCTAATTATTGTGAGCGTTGGAAAATATATTAAAGAATGTTTTTGAAACATTCAGATCTTATATACAAGTATCGTGGTTTAGTGGTAGGAAGCTATACCTGCTCCGCGTGCGGCTCGGGTTTACCATTTTTTTAGATCCTATCGTTTTTTGAAGTGAAAACTTCTTTAGCAGCGTTGTAAACTTTTTTTGTATGGGTAAAAAATTATAACTCGCGTCAGGTTAAACACGTGGGCTGATCGCATCATGACACACCATAAAATTGGAAAGGTTGTTGACTTTCAATATATTGGACGAAACATAGTAATATTTTATTTTACCGTATTATAAAAATAAGTCTCTATCTAGGACGTCCACGTGGCAGCTTTATTGCGAAGAAAATGCATTTTTTTTACAATAGATGTCGCTAGGTGCGCATAAATGTGATTCATGTAAGTTGATTTCCTTACAATAGATGTCGCTAAGTGCGCTTAAACGTGATTCATGTAAGTTGATTTTTCTGAGAGATAAACTTTTTTAATGTAATATAAATTGTCATGTTTGTGTACGATAGCGCAATAAATAAATATTGTATTCTACCACATACATGATAGTACTTTTATACTGATAATTAAAGCAATTCGTGCGAAATTATTCAATGACTATTCCAAAATATCAAAAATGGGCAACGTTAATATTCAAGTTTTCACTTCTGCCGACACTCCCGGAGTGCAACCCGTCGTTTTTTTTTGTGTTTTGATGTTATATTGTACCAAAAAAAATCCAAACCGTAGAAGCATAGTATAACTACTTATTATTGTTTGTGTAAAATTTCTTCTACATAAATCCTATTTAACCAAACCTCTAATATTGCAATTTTTATACGTAAATTTCCTCTGTCCATTTTTCTTATCGCACGCTATTTACCAATGCGTTACAGCATTAGTTTTTTCAAATACCTATTTCTCAAATGTCTTTCAGCTCGCGTCCGCTCTTAACAGTAACATATTCATCTTAACCGCACTACGTAGTTTAAATATGCCACCATTTCGTAGCATTATAGCTGCATTCTGTTGACATATCACTGAACTTAATCATCATCAACCATCGTTACTAGCCTATTAATGTCCCCACTGCTAGGGCACAGGACTTCCTTATGGATGGAATAAGGAGATTGGGCCATGACTCAGCACGTGGGACCAGTGCGGATTGGCGGGTGCTAACGACTGCAGAAGTAGCTGAGATAACGGCCTAACGTGCCTTCCGAAGCACGGAAGAGCTCGAGATAGTAAATTTTTGGTCACCCATCCTATGACCGACCAATGCGAAAGTTGCTTAACTTCAACGATCGCAACCGAACGCGCTAACCATTTGCGCCATCGAGCTAATACTGAACTTAATGTCATATTGATTATTTTAATTACGTATAATATAACCTATATAATCTACATTATACAGGGCGTCCCACGGCTACCTCACACGGAGGGAAAGTATATTAAATATTAAAGATATTTTAGACGACGACATCATTTCATTTTTGATAATAACTAAAACTGCATTCACAGATTTTTTAAAAATCGACTGCTACAACTGGGAATCAAACTCGTGAAATTACGAAAAAAAAATACGACATAGGTATTTTATGAAAACCATCGAAAGGGTTTATTAAAAAGATTATTTTTTACATATTAACATAGCATTTTAAATGAAAGGAATGTCTTATTACGTGATAAAAAGAATAAAGTGATATACAAACTGTAGTACGTATGAATTTCTTTTTTGAACTCAGTTACAACGCGATTGGCTGAAATTTGTAAAAATAATAATTCGAAAATAGAACACATACATTTTCAAGCGTCTGTGTCCCTAGCACGAACCATTATCGAATTCGAATAGTTTGCGAGTGTGAAATGTCAATGTCAAATTTTGTATGGAAACCAAAGTACGTAACGAGAACTGAAAATCAGTACACATTTGACAATGACATTTCGCGCTCGAAAACTATTCGAATTCGATATTGGTACGTGCTAAGGGTACTGTTCTTTTTTTTTTGTCTTTTTCATTTTAGTTAAAAACTTAATACATTTTTACAAAGGGAATCTAAATACATAAAGATATCTAGAAATACTTAATATTTTTTAAGAGGTGAGATCAATAATCTTCCTGATGCAAATCGACGAAATCTCATTTTCCAGCAAAATGGGACTCATAACAGTAGGAGAACTGCCGAGTTTCTTAATGAACACTTTCCTTCCTGGATCGGTTCTTATGGACAAATAAGGTGACCAGCAAGATCCCCAGATTCAATCTTTATCTTAGTTAAAGTTAGCAAGTGAGGCAATACTTACAAGCTCTTACGTTGACGATATATTGTGTGGAAATTCGACATACAGTGGCGCAATTTAGTTAAAGCAGGAACTTTTCAAGTTGTTAGATGAAGGAGGCTTTGAACCACATAAATGGTGCTCTAACGACATGTCTATTATACAGGATATACCCGAAGAAAATTACGGTTTCAGCAAAGGGATCTTGATCAGGATATAACTATAAAAACTTTAGGTTTGTCCTTTGATGTCAAAAATGTTTTTTTTACTATCAGTGGAAAGGTTATTAATACATTGGAAGTACCTACAAAACGCACTGTATTGAGTTCCGTAAGTAAATTGTTCGATCCCATGGGGTTTGCTGGTCCCATAGTAGTGAATGCAAAAATAATGTTACAAAAAATTTGGCAGCACAATTTCGAATGGGACACTCCGCTACCTTCCAATCTTAAGAACGTTTGGCAGACTTTTCACGATTCAATATCCTCAATGACAGACATATGTATTGCTCGTAATTTACATATATACGAGGCAACAAAAGAAGTGGAATTGATCGGTTATTGTGACGCGGCATCCGAGGCGTATGGTTGTTGAATATATTTAAAGGTAAAGACTGCTCATGATTATTTTATTAATTTGATTTGTGCTAAATCGCGTATTGTAGGAATTAATTCTAAATTAACTATTCCAAAACTTGAACTTAACGGAGCATTACTCTTATCAAAGCTTATGTCAAAGGTAATATCCATTATTAACAGCATAAAAAATATTATTTTATTTTGTGATTCGAATATAGCTCTAGGATGGATTCACACTATAGAAGATAAATTACCTCCATATATGGCAAACCGGGTCAAAGAAATTAATAAGTTGACCTCGAGTATGTCCTGGAAATTTACTCCAGGATCTTATAATCCTGCAGACATTCTAACTCGTGGTTGCAATCCTAATGAACTTAAATATAATAAATTGTGGTGGCATGGACCCGATTATTTGAGAAACAATAATATTTTTTATAATTTTCAATTATCAGATGTAGAGTTTCCGTTTTTGAATATAGTACAATCAAATCAAAATTCAAACAATATTTCTTGTAATATGCCATTCCATTCTTTACAAAATTTTCTAATATTAATAAAATGCAACGAATAATGGCTTACATATTAAGATTTCTCAATAATTGTAAAATAAGGGCTATAAACAAATCATTTTTAACAGTATTAGAATTGCAAAATTCTCTAGTTATTATACGATACATTCAAAGTCATTATTTCGCAAAGGAAATAGAAAGCATAAAAAAGGGGATTGATGACAAAAATATATTGAGAGTTGGCGGAAGGTTGCACAACTCAGATCTTCCATTTTCAATAAAGTTTCATTTTTCTTCCTAAGAAATGTCATGTTATACGACTTATAATTTTGAATGAACATTTAGTTTTGTTGCATGGCGGCTTAAAACTTATATTAAGTAATCTATCGCAAAAATACTATATATTAAATGCAGTTAGGGAGATAAAATCAGTTATACATAAATTTGTTACTTGTTTAAGATATAAGGCAGAATCAGTGAAACAGCTTATGGGTTCGCTTCCTAAAGAAAGAATTACTGCAATAAGAATTTTTCAAAAGGTAGGGATAGATTATTGTGGACCTTTTGATATCAAAAATTCTTCTGTTAGACGAAGTATAATCAGCAAAGGTTATGTAGCGGTCTTTATTTGCTTTGTTTCGAAGGCAGTGCATTTAGAAGTGGTCTCTGACATGACTTCTAACTCTTTCCTATCTGCCCTTAAACGATTTGTCTCTCGACGGGGTCTTCCTTCAGATATTTTTTGCGACAACGCCCAAACCTTTAAGGGCGCGGACAAGAAATTAAAAGAGATGCACCGTTTATTCGCTAATGATGATTTTCAAAGTACTATTTCTGGTTACACTTCAAATTAGGGCATTCAGATTCATTATATTCCAGCATGTAGTCCTCACCAAGGCGGATTGTGGGAGGCAGCTGTAAAGTCCTTTAAATATCATTACAAACGAATTTTAGGTTCAAAAATATATACTTATGAACAATTAGTTACGTTAACTACTGAAACTGAATCTTTCTTTTACGATTTTCTTTTTTAAATTTCATGTTGAGTTGCAATTTCCTCCATTAATAATGTAGGGAACCTAAATTATAATAAGATAAATGTAATTGTCTAAAAAAACGAGCTTTGAGGGGCGGCAGAAGTCACAGAAACACATTCGTTACTGGCCTATATCTTGATTTGATTTACCAATTCTGGGGGTTGCAAATCGGAAAAAGTACGCCCCTTCATCTGCTGTTTTTTCTTGTAGCTCTTTCCATAAATCTACTGCTTTTTTCTATAACGCTAACCGATTTTTAAAAATCGGAGCTGGTAACACTGCTTCGACGTCACCATTTCAGAGCCTATTGAGAATGAGATTGAAAAACTATTGATATTGCAATACATACAATGCCAATAGTCCAGTCAGTATTGTCGCGAAATCCGTTTTTCCTCAAACAGCTGGAACTATGCTAAAAAGTTTCTTAAGATAGTAAAGAACACTTTACATAGAGAAAAAAATGTTTCCAACCCCGGGCAAGGGTGAAAACCACCCTTAATAATCTATTTTTCCAATTATCTCAAAAAGTATACGAGATACGGAAAAAAACTTCAAATGAAAATTGTAGATCTTTTTGAAATCTACAAAACATTATTCCACCCTCTTGCCCCTATTTTCAATAGGGGAGCCAATAATCGAAGTCAAAGATTCAATACTTAAAAAGTTAAAGTTAGTTAAAAAAGTTATCTTTGACTACGATTATTGGCTCCCCTATTGAAAATAGGGGCAAGAGGGTGGAATAATGTTTTGTAGATTTCAAAAAGATCTACAATTTTCATTTGAAGTTTTTTTCCGTATCTCGTATACTTTTTGAGATAATTGGAAAAATAGATTATTAAGGGTGGTTTTCACCCTTGCCCGGGGTTGGAAACATTTTTTTCTCTATGTAAAGTGTTCTTTACTATCTTAAGAAACTTTTTAGCATAGTTCCAGCTGTTTGAGGAAAAACGGATTTCGCGACAATACTGACTGGACTACAAGATTTGTGCCTTTATTATATATCGAGTGACTATGACCACAATTTTTTTTAAGGTTTTCATCCGCCCTCGCTTCTCGTGAATAGGGATGATGACTATTTTTTTTTCTTCGTTTATAAGGTAGATTTTATCAAAAAGTTTCTTTTTTCACATAATATAAACATTGCAGAGATATATTGATTTGAAAAGTCGCATGACTTCACGTTTGAGTACACTTATAAGTGAAAATTCACTCAAAAGTGACGTCACGAGCCCCTACTCCCAAACTTTGAAGCGCTATAACTTTGTCATTTTTTGGTTGATTGCCCAAAGAAAAAATACGTGTCCATTATTTTTTGATCATCTAACTGACGGAGTAAATAGAATTTCGTTTACTGTACTCCGTCATCACCCCTATTCCTGCACATTATATTAGCGTCTTTTGCACGATACCTACCTACTTATAATAGGGGAGTCCAAGAGATGATTTTTTAATTTACACGAGTGCGGCCAAGCCGTCCTTAAATTACGTCATCGATTTTTTCAGATTTTAGACCCCCCCCCCCCCTACAATCATCCTATCGTCATTTCTTAATGACCCCCCCCCCCCTTTTCCCAAAATTGACGTCATTACCAGTTTGACAAAATTAATTTTGCAGATTTGAGAAAAATAGGGTATTATATGATTAAAACACTTGGTTATAGAATCACCTTTTATTATTTTTACTTTGGCAATAATCATTGATATAATATAATATAAAAGTAAAAAATAGGGAATAATAATATTATATATTAAATATATAATATATTATTATTCCCTATTTTTACTTTTCTTTGGATAACTCCCACGGAGTTTTCACCCATTCTTTTAAATTCTTAATCACGAGTAATATCTCCGTATCCTTAGCCGCCTCTCACATTTGCAGTCTCACTTACTAGGTGTGCTGGAAGAAATTTCTTTTTAGAACTATTCTTTTTGTACGTGAACAATAAACTATAAATAAATAAGAATGACGAAACTCAATTTCAATTTCGAAACACCCCCCCCCCCCCCCATTTTTATCATTTACTGTCATCCGCAGCCCAACCCCCCCCCCCCCCCCTAATTTAGAATGACGTAATATATGCACGGCCCCTAACGCTGTCTGGTCCACGTGGAAATTTTTGCTAGTGAAATTTTCTTTAGATGCCATGTGTTGCTAATCGATTTGCTCTCTTAATTTTCAGCCTATGTTCACCTACGCCTTGCTCGGTTACGTACGCACTATGAACAGGTTGGCCAGTTCCGAGGAAGAGATAGCTGTGTACACAGGCACCTTGTTGCTTTGCCCCCTGCGCGCCGGCTTGGCTGACCCGGAACGCATCAACTCCTTGCATCGCGCCATGGGCGACGCTTTCCAGCAGCTTGTAAGTTTTGTACTGAAACTTCTTTAAAGATATTTTATATATATACAGGATGTTACAAAAATACAAATAAAGCTTGAAGGACGTTGAAGTACATCATATAAGGAGTCTTCTCTAATTTTCTTAAAATATTTGCATGAAGTTTTAACTTTTTATAAAAACAGTTATTTTTAATGATAAATAAAAATATCGATCATTTTAAGACACATCACTAGTTCGAGGATCATTAAAAATAACTGTTTTTATAAAAAGTTAAATATATAGTTATATATAATCTCACTCATATATATAAATAAATAATAAATAAATATTTCCAACACTCGCATCAATTAGCCTAGCCCCGAAGTAAGCACTGTAAGGCTTGTGTTATGGGACACTAGGGTAACGGATAGAATACACATACTTTACATATATAAGTATATTTATATAGAAATACATATTAAACAACCATGACTGGAGTACAAATGCTGGTATTCATCACACGAACACCTATCTGCCCCCACCGGGATTCGGACCTGGGACCTCACGAGTCGGCGACACCATGAAACCCGGCGTACAAACCACTCGGCCACGGAGGTCATCAATTATATATTGTGTTTTTGTCAGTGAGTAAGATTCCAGGGGTAAGTTGCCACCCTTTTAGTATAAGTGTCGCCGCACACGGGCCAGCGCCACAGCCACAAACGCCGCCACGAGAAGCTAGAAGCGGCTACTAAAGTGGCTGAAGCGCGCGACAGCGGCCGACTAAGGTAAGGGAGAGAGGGGTGGGGAATCGCGCGAGTGACGTGTGGCGGCATTTTGTATCGGCGCATTAAGTGGCCGGTGCGGGCCACAAGAAGCGAACAACGGCGATTTGTAGCGTGTGGCGGCCACCGGCGTACCGTGTGGCGAGTCCATATAAAATGTATTAAAACTACAAGATATATGCCGGTGGCGGCGTTTTGTGGTTGTGGTCGGCGACACTTAATCACCATAATCATCATCCACATCCCCAATGCTGAGGCAAAGGTATTATGGATGATATAGGACCCTCCATGTGGGTCTGTGCGGATTGGTTAGCACCCGCTAACGACACCAGATGCAACCGCGACCAACAACTTAACGTGTGTTCCGTTATCACTTAACCGTGGTTACTTATTTATTATTTTAAATGTGGGTAGGTTCGCAACGAGAACGATGCATCTGCGAATGTGGTTTTTTACTAGCCTAACGCAGACTCAGCCACTGATCACACGAGAGGACCTACGTCACTCCGTTCCTCGCCCGCGCACTCGCTAACATCGTATAACCCTAATCACTGCCGGATTTAGGGGAGGGCAACCGGGGCGAAAGCCCCGGGGCCTCCACAAACGGGGGGCCCCCACAATAGAGACTTCGGAAAAAAAACATTCAAATTCCAACTAGTAAACATCTTTTCCTTTAATATTTTTTTTTGCTCTTTTACCTTTACCTACAGCCTACAGTACTTTGTACATCTAACATACATGATTATTTGATTATATTAATCTTAAATAACAGAAATCATTGATCTGTATTTGTTCTGGAGTGAACTCATCAGGCAATCAGTGAAATATCAAAATTTCAAATGGCCCTGATAAGCACTTCCAATTCACTACCCATCTTTAGGGAGTACCCCAATCGCTTAATGGCTGAGTGGGGTGGTACTTGCCCGCAGGGCCGAATTTAAGGCAGGGCAGGTGGGGCTGTGGCCCAGGGGCCTCCACAACAGCTTAAGAAATAACAACATTTCGATGGGTTATAGAACAAGAATACAAATCCTAAGTGGCCCGGGGCCTCCACAATCCTAAATCCGGCCCTGACCCTAATCTTTACGTGCGGTATACCAAACAAGTGGAATTCGTCAACAATAAACTGTGAATTTCTTCTGTGACTGTGACCACAAGCTTCCGACAAACGTTTCAAACGTGAGTACGTTACGCTATTAGCAAACCCATTCGTAATTGTGTATTTATCGTTATCTCGTTGCAGCCCCTTTTCAATCGTTTTAATTACTTATATCGGCTGCCCCCAATATGTATTTGCAATAACAATACAACGTGATTTTTGAAGCAAGGCCGAGTTTGAGATAATACTTCGGAATTGGTCAACTATTATTAATGCGCTAACCACCAGCGCCATCGAGCCTCTTGCTAAGTAGCGAAAGACGCCATTTTCAAAGCCTTTTGCTATAGTTAGGTAGGCATGACTCTACCCACCTGATGTTAAGCGGTGGTAAAGTCCAGTCGCGAAGATACCTCACCTTGCCGGCCTGCAGAAATGCCACTCATTGGCCAAGTTGTACCTGGTGTTTCAAAAGCTGCAATACTATTAGGTGGTGAGCAGCGGCATCCAAGACGTATCTGGTCGCCTGGAAGCTTTCGTATCAGCGGCAGCAGAAGTTCGAGCGTTGGGCGCGCGCCACCATGAATTACTAGGCTGGTGCCGTAATCAGTGGCCTCGTCTCCTTCTGCCCGCGCTGTTCTCAGAGATATTCGACATCCCCAAACTGGAGGACGACGAAAATGGTGACGGTGAACGCCCCACTACCACCATGCAACTCAACCAAATGTAGATCGGAAATAAAAGAAATATGAGAAAAATACACTTGGGAGCAATGAGTCCGGATCGCTTGAGACCGCGGCATTTTATGAAATTTTGTGTCGATTTTAAAAGTTATTTTTTTTATTTTACTTTGTTGATCGTATATAAGCGATTGTTCATGTTACTACGTTGGTCTTAGATAAGGGATATCAAAAATTAATTATTTATTTGAAATATTATATAAAATGCAGACAGTCGCGCCAGGGTGCTGTGCGTAGTACCTAATCGACGCGTATTGATTAATACCGTACGTCATCGGAAAATGAATAAATTGTGTTATTAAAAAATACTCAATCATATCCAGGCCAACTTGAATAGTTGTGTTAAAGGTTTATAGTCTTTGTTTCTTTCTATTTTAATTTAATTTCAAACCGCGATATACAAAAAGTACCTAAGAGGACTTCGGTTTAAATACCGATCCGGCTTCATTGCTCTACAGTGTAAATCTCAATCAACGGATTTATTCACCGCTTTGCACACTACTATTGAAATCACCATATCTTGTAGAAGGTTTTTCTTCGAGTGTTAAACTACTTATTATATTGAATGTCATTCTGATCAGTATTTTATTAAGAAATCAATACGAATTTAATGGGACGATTCTCGTATCGTAAGGTGTGGATCTGACGATCTTTGTCTTGTGATATAGGTATGATATGGTAAGTATTGAAAGTATATATATATATATACTATGTGTACGTCTGATGTGTCGATGGATTTTTCCTAATAATTGTAATGCTCCTTTTCCACAATGTGACTGAGACTGATAGTTTAAAGTTACGGGCCTTCAGGCAGCATGGATGGGGCACTAGTAAGTATTTATGTTCGTAAATTTTGGGGTACTTTGTGGAATCGGAGCAAATTCAGAATAACTAATATTGGTTCATAGGATAAGTACTTGTAACTTAGCGTGTAATGTCTAAACTAAGTGCATGTTATTTATTCATTTCGTTATATTATTGATGTTCTTTGAATGAAACTATATAATCACACTTTTACGCGTAAGTAGAAAATTAAATAATTTGTATGTAAGTAGATACATATATCATCTTCTTAGACTTTAGATGAATTTATTTCGGCATAGTCTGGCGTTATAACCAGGCAATGATGTAACATTATCTTTGTTTAGTTGCACGAATTGTTCAACAATTGTTATGTTCATTGATTCAATGATGTTGGTTTCTTTTTATTATTATTGTTTTATTATTTGTTTTGTTTCAAAAGTTTGAAGCCAAATTTGCTCATTTATTTTTTAAATATTGTTTAGCAGTAATTAAGTTTGATTTAAGTTGCAACGACTTGGCATTGTTGAACACAATGTATTATTATATACCTGAGTTGTTACTTGCTATTGCTTTTTAAGTCCTTCATCCGGAACTGATGAGGGCTACAAGATTATCACGATACATATCTAGCTAATCTTTGAGTAATCATTGGACAACCTTTTTATTGATACATTCATCGATCAATAAAAAAAAATCCAAATGATGTTTAATTAGTTATGCTAAATGCATTAGTTTGTAATTTTTTCAGCCGATGCACACCCAATTTCTAATTTGAAATTTGAAAAAAGCAACTATTATTATAGAAACAATCCGGTTCTGGTAGCCACGTACTTAAGATTACACCCAGAAATGATCACGTGTGTGTTAATAAGAATTTAAGACGATTCCCAAACATAATATTACTTGTTATTGAATGTTTTATTGGCTACTGTTAACTTATAAGCTTACATAGATTTAAAATTATTTTATGCATAGTTTGTAAAATTAAATTTGCTACTTTTAAGAATTCCTTTATACTGTTACTACGAACGCTGAGACAATTTATCTAGTAGACTTGTCAAATGCATGTTTAATTGTATCCACCATCGAGTCTTGTAAGTACCAACTATGTTCGAAATAGTTTGAGTTGATTGGAGCCATTGAGAAATTCGAACCCCCAAATTAATAAACGGAAAATAATCTTAGACTAGTTACATAGTGTGCGTAAGTACAGTCATCATCACTGAATTGTCTTGTAATTCGATGAAAAGATGCAGTATGAAGCACTACGCAACTAATCCATCGCTTAAAGAAGGTATATTATTTTTCGTATATTAAGTTTTATTTATTAAGTATTTAAGTAGATTTTGCTCAAACTTTTGGTGGTGGGTTAGCTGTTTGAGCGAAATGAACTTTGTTGAAGTTGTTTTGTTGTCTATTGCTATGTGCGTGAGGAGCTTTCAGTGATTTAGTTGCTATTTATATTTTTCCGTTACGTATTATTAGAAGCCGATGTTTCATTATATGAGCATTGAAGTAATAAGTTGTCTTATAATGGGTCTCAACACTTTTTCAAATGTCAGCGATGAACAATTCGATCTGAATCACCTCTCCTTTTGCTGAAGACAATGCAGTTTTGAGTAGTTAAAATTCAGTACTAATAAATTCAAGTTTAATTAAATTGTACACTTGTTGTACTGAAAACTTTAATCTACGATCGTTATATGTAACTTTGAAGTCGAGCTGAACAGATCTAAAATAATGAGACTTTAATAGGTAGATAAGTACGCAGCACTATCGTTCGCGATTCAATATCCCTTCTGCGCAGCTAATATACGATGTTATAGGCTAATTATGTTATACGATTTTAGAAACTTATTAAAGTATTCTATATTTTATTAGTTAATAGACAAAGGAGTTCGTAATCTGTCACTTTTAGGGGTAAAACTGTTTCTTACTTATTTTTTTACAGGGTGAAAAACCGTGTAACTCCCCGATTTTCGTACAGGGTGAAAATCCCTGTACGAAGATTGGAGTTGGTGGATTGTATTGTACGTATCCATTTAACATGATATTTTGCGCTGTTCTGATTGTTATTTGTTTTTACTCTATAGTCTAGTTTTGATATTGACGACCAGAAACTCGTCTATATAGATCGTAGTTCAATAGTCTCGTCAATGATTATTAGAAGTTTAGTAAGTGTGAGTTTATTTAATTCTCATGCGTTTATTTAAAGTAATGAATTTAGCAAATTTGTAGTTGCGAAGAAAACCGCTCGCTGTTCTTACTCATTTTCGTTAATGTACCTACATTAGGACACGCATTATATTCAAATTAATTGCATTTACTCAGCATTTTTAAGTTGTTTTTTATATTTCTATTCAAAGTTTACTTTCATGTAGTCCGTAGGTAGATAGATATAAATAACAAAATTCTTGTAGATGTAGGTAAAGTTGTATGTGATAATTATGTCTGTATGCTCTCTTGTATTCACTTAATATAAGATTAAACGGAGTGTTGAAGATAAGTGATATAATTCTTTAGGTATGTAGGTATAACTATTATGATATGTTATTGTTACGAAGCGCGCAAGTGTCACTTTGATTATGGAATCTGTATTAGATCATAATAAATAAATTTCATTTACGTAATTCGACTTAAAGTGAAGAATATGGACAGGTCTTGCCCACATTAATGGATTGTGTATCAACAATCCTCGCTAAATACAAATGTTTAGATATCTGCTCCTTTTTCACACAGACACGTTAAAAGCTGTTCTGCTTTTAATTTTAATTAAATTGGGTGCATAGAATCTTGCTATGCTTAGGCTTTTCTGGAGAGTGAAAAACTCTATGCACCCAATATAATTAAATCACAAATTTGTTTGTTTAACTGACAAAGTAGACTGAGAAAGTACATATTTAATTTAGTTTATTTTTTTAATTTATTCTGGCCGTGGATACTTTGTCCTTTAGCCGTTAATTTTGGTTCTTCATTTAGGGTTGCCATTTGTAAGGCTATAAGTAGCTGAATGATTTTAGCTTCTCACTTTGAAGAGTAGTTCAGCGCCATGTGCACTAAGGACGAATCTATTTGTGATAAATTATTGTTCAACTCCCGTCTTTAAAAACAAATTTGTTCTCTAAGTTAATGGTTCCGCCCAGCTATTTTTCGCTCATACCCCTTCCTCCTTGGAAAGCGAGCATAAAGGTTCAAAACCTGACGGTGAAGGCCTGTAGATATTCTTTATTTAACTCGAAGTAAGTATTTGTTGTTCATCATTTAAAGTAATAGATGGATTTATTATATTAATGTAATCTGTTATTTATAGCTCTATATGCGCATTATAGATGTTATAAATTATACTTATATTGATTTGAATCCGGACTCGGGCACTTTCTGACATCTGTGGTACACTCGCGGAAAGACCCGCTCTGTCACCCATAATGCCATAATCGCTTGCGGTAGCGGCGTAGTAAAAATTCATTCATAGACATGTAATTATCGCTGTCTTACTTTATCATATAGCGCTGTCGCGATCACGATGCAGATGACAAATTGCAACAAAAACAAATGCAATTCAATTCATTATTCAATCAATGAAATGCTCTCTGTCTTACTTTTGTGCGGCGGCCCGGATTGGCGCGTCCGGCGCCAAGACGGGGGCGTAGTAAAAACTACTGTAGAAAACCGTTCAAAGCATTTTGTTCGCCAAGTGACAGAGCGCAAAATTCCGCGATAGTACCTATCAGCGAAGTGTTTGAACAGAAATGTAAAGAAATTGCGAAACGAAATAACTACTCGGCGATGGTTTAGTTACATCGATTGCATTTTTATTGATTGAACCTAAAGATTAAGTACGTAAATACCTAAGGATTTCAACGAGTAGACTGCAGTATCACGGACAGCTCATATTTTGAAACTTGCGGGCAGTAGAATTACGCGTAGCAAGACATTTAGGTTATCCTCCAAATATGGTAAATCTACTTGAATATTGTAAATCTTATGGATTACCGGTCCCGTCGATATCAATGAAACAAAATCTTATTAGATTTTTTGTAATTTCTATTTCATTACGCAGGCAGGGCTGGTTTAAGCTAAGAGCAAGGGGGTAAGCGACGAATTCTCCAGGGCCCCGGCAGGGACCGATAGGGGCCCAAGGGCGGATCTAAGGGGGGGGGGGGGGCATAAGGGTCATGATCCCCCCCCCCCTCGCCTGGGGGATTTTATTTAAGTACTTTCAATATTTAATAAACCACGACCATATGACCCGCCTGGCGCCAAAGCTGGATCCGCCCTTTTAGGGCCCCCCTCAGATCACATACAAAGTCCCTAGTTTCTGTTAAATCACCAGGTCAAAGACGGCACTGGCTGTGGTTAAGTTCTATGGTAAGCCCGGATGAAATTAGATTTACAATTTGTTGTAACAATACTTATAACTTTCATGTCAAAAGTTTAACCTAATTGACATTAACCAGAGTCCGGATCGAAACTCTAGAGTAATTTATAATATTAAGGAGGCTTAATCAATACGGTAGGTGGAGTGCAATTAACTAGAATGTTTTTATTATGATTAAGATAATATTATTATTAGCAGCATTCGAGGGAGTTAATCAATGGTTTAATTGCACTCTACTTATCGCTTTAATGATAGTTATTGTTTATCATAATTTCGCCTAATGAATGTTTTTTGTCAATGAATATGATATGGTGTTGCTCATTATAGTCTTGGCTGGCCAACGTCACTCTACTTTTGCAAACGATAAAATTGCACAAACTGTAAGATTACAATCTATCTAGGGAATTTGGAAACTGTAGATAGTTGATTGTGAACCCGACATTTGGCATTGCTACTATTCCGAATTCCGATATTTTGTTGATGTGTGTTCGAATTTAATCAATTTAGATTTAGTGCTTATGGACGAGCCTAGATAAGTCACATTATAGGATCGTATTAAAGCATTAAAAGTGTGTAGAATTAATTATAATTATCACTTGAAAATAACCGGTTTTTTATTTCGGTTACAACTTTACCTTCCTATCTTGATCCTTTCTTTCATCCTTAGGTACCAACTTAACCTGTTATGGATTATTAAGACAGAATGACTGACATAGCTAGGGGAGGGCATTATTAGTCAATGCCCTACCTTAAACTACCACTGCCTTACCTAAAAACGGAGCGGCACGCTGCGAAAGGTGACACTCCCATGATTACACCCCAGCTGTAATATCCGCTGCCCCACTAACACAGGAAGAAGTTAGAAGTGCTCATAGGCCGTTTGTACATAAACCGATGTCGCCAGCTCGCCCCACTACACTCCCACGCAATAGATTTTAAGCCAATCAAACGACGCTACGTCAAACAATCGACCCAATTAGCGCTCACATCCGAGAGCAACGACGCAATCAGAAACAAAGTTTTGAGCATTGTGTTCTGTGCACTGCCCTATCTTAAATGCAACTCTGGTTTGGACCCTGGGCAGCAGTGGCGGCGCTAGACGTCGGCGACGTCGGCCATCGCCGACGGCTTCGCGCCTGAGAGGGCCTCGCAAAAATTTTTTACAAGTTACCTATTTATTTTCGTTTCTCCTGGCCTGGCTTAGGTAGCCGACCCCGAACAATTCGGGGAAAAAGCTAAGCAGATGATAATGACTTTTATTTTCGAACACGTGCGTGATGTAAGCGAGTAGTACTTTACAGGTATTCAGAATCGTCTGTCTGGCAACACTATTTTTGTAATAAAATTTCTATGTTTGTAATTATTTTTTGTCATCATTTGATTATCAACAATAAAACTCGTTTACTCATACGTTATTTTATAATTTGGCTCACTTAATTTAGCGGTTTTTTACTGCGAAGTAAAATAGGCCTCACGAACTTGATGTCGCCGACGTCCACATGTGGTCTAGCGCCGCCACTGCTGGGCAGAGACCTGGTTAGCTACCACCCATTTTATTGGTTTTAGCCGTTTGTAGTGTATCGAACTTATTTAAATTTTAAATTGTTGAAAAGTATTTGGTCACCTTGTCTGCGTTACTATAATTATATCTGAGGGCGACTGTATATGCGTATTTAGAAATGATATTGAAACTCTGTATTAATTACATTTCTCTCATTATTATTGATGTATATATTTATTTGTTTAAATATTGATACTTACTGTGAAATGAGAACGAACAAAAATGTATGGAAGCCTGCCTTGCGATATATCATTAGATTTGTTATGACAGAGTGTCCCAAATCGCTGTGTGAAAGAAATTATGACACAATAAAGCCAGCCAGTAAATATTTTTACTCCTTATTTTGGGATCGTATCAGCTCAAACTAGCCAAATCATATTGTGCAGTGCCTATGCACAGTGGCCTGTATATAACTGAAGTGAAAAGAGAGGATTTATTAGGCGATTTGCACTAATATGCCTCAAAATGCATGGTCAAAAATAGGCCGTATTCAGTCTCGCCATCAAGGGCGGATCCGGGGGGGGGGGTCATGGGGGTCATGACCCCGCCCTGGGCTGGGTACAGATGGACCAAACCCAGGGGATTTTATTTAAGTACTTCCAATATTTAATATACCACGACTATATGACCCCCCCCCCTGGCGCCAAAGCTGGCTATATGACCCCCCCCCCCTGGCGCCAAAGCTGGCTATATGACCCCCCCTGGCGCCAAAGCTGGCTATATGACCCCCCCCCCTCTGGCGCCAAAGCTGGATCCGCCCTTGCTCGCCATGTGGGGACAAGAAAATATTTGTTACGTTTTGGTTAGCAGAGATGTAATTGACATTATTGAGGAGCTCGTGGCGTAAGTGGCTAGCGCGTTCGGCTGCGATCGTTGAAGTAAAGCAACTTTCGCAGTGATTAGTCATTGGATGGGTGACCAAAAATTTACTATCTCGAGCTCCTCCGTACTTCGGAAGGCACGTTAAGCCGTTGGTCCCGGCTGCATTTGCTGTTGTTAGCACCCACCAATCCGCACTGAGCTCTCGTGGTGGGCCATGGACCAAAACTCCCTATTCCATTCGTAGGGAAGGCCTGTGCCCTAGCAGTGGGGACATTAATAGACTGATGATGACTTGACATTATATTACACTTGTTTAACAGGGCACTGGGCAATAGGGAGTTGTATCCATATAACTTCTATTTTGTGGTATCTAGGTGTATTAGAGAAAATATATATCGACCTTGATTTCGATTCGATTTTCTCTTTATTATATTCTATAACACTTTAATGCTCTGCAAGCCCTGCGAGATGATAATGGCGTTTATTCTAATCATTGTCCTTGAGAAGAATAAATGTCCTAGAAAATAGAATAAATCTTTGTGCTTTTTTAGCAAAATGTAATTTATTCAAATTCTCTTGGAGACTGAAAGCTAAAATACTTTTTAGCTAATTAAAAACTTAAGTAATATGATATTTTGTTAGCTTGCAGTCATGGATCTGCAATTCTAAAACTATCATGGTAATAAAAATATATTATGCTGTCTGATCAAAATATATACTAGGGTTTGCTCGCCTTGTATGCGAAATCTTTTAGCAATTTGAGCGTGATTCTGTGACAATAGGCTAGTTGACCCTTTTTGGAAAAAGGTTTTAAATGGTTAATTAATGTTCTATTAGACCGAAAAAAAATGTATTGTATTTTTTTTAAACCTAGAAAGCTACAAATCTTTAATTTTAAAATAGACTTTTCATGGACATACAAAAACGCTGTCGGCCATTTTAGTCTATAGATTATCTATGCTAAGACGTGAACTGTCGTAAACAAAAACTCGTAAACACGTAGAAAATTACTTTTAACTGAGTTTATAATAAACAAAAACATGATTTCTAATAAATACCACGAAAAATAATGTAATTATCATTACTGTATTGTACGAGAATATAAAAACACATCCTTGAAGACTCCAGGAAAGTTGTCGATTAAAGTGCCGAAAGAACCTACGCAACTTAGTTAACCTACGCAACTTTATTACACTTATTCATATGTTGTATCAGTTTTATGTTTATTACTACATTGTAATACTAAATGCACTGTACTTACATAGATGCCTTGTCGTTTCTCTGCTCCGCAGAGCAGAAATCGGGGTTTAGTGCAACAAATTCACCAACCATCAATGCGTCAATTCTTGGCAGATTTGTGCTTTCTGCTTTCACAAAGCCGGCATCCATAATTAGTTATGTCAAAAAAAACTAAGTTTACTGTTTTTTTCTTTCCTAAAGTTAAAAGTGTTTTATGATAAATTTAGTCAGACGAAAGAATCCACCTACAGTAACACGCGAATGACATTTAGTTGTTTACCAGAAGAGACGTCAAAATCATGGCGGATGTGGCGAACAGCGTTTTTAGTGTTTAAAAAATATAGACTAAAAAATATTTTTTAAAATTAAATTTCTACAGCAATCTTCTGCTTTTATGAAGTGAAATCGATATATTAAGGTTCCTTAGACTAAATACTTTAAGAAATAAACATTTATTTAATACAATTTGACATGAGTAAACTAGCCTATTATGCATTCCCGTGTTAAGTGCAACCTATCATAATAATACTTCACCATCAGCCTATTAATGTCCCCACTGCTGGGGCCAGCTTTCCCTATGGATGGAATAGGGAGATTGGGCCATGACCCACCCACCACGCAGGCCCAATGCGGATTGGTGGGTGCTAACGACTGCAGATGCAGCTGGGACCAACGGCTTAACGTGCCTTCCGAAGCACGGCGGAACTCGAGATAGATTTTATTTGGTCACCCATCAAATGACAGACCACTGCGAAAATTGCTCAACTTCAACGATCGCAGCCGAACGCGCTAACCACCTGCGCCCTCGAACTCCTTCTCTCATCAGATAATACTTGTGACAATATTAATTAGGCTCAATTTATACCGCCGCGGAATGGAATGAAAGCGAATTTTTGCAACGAATTTCTGCATAGCATAATGCATTTTATATCAATCGAAGAAGGTTCCATAGGCGACACCGACAGTCGCTAGGGGAATTCCCGAGAACACGCGGGGATTCCCCGAAAGTCACTCGACCGTTTTATGGCTCGTAATTAGTTTGTTTAATAAAACTTTATGTACAATTTTGTTTCAAAATCCATTCCGCGGCGGTAATAAATAAGTTAAGGTTGTAAAGGAAGTAACAGGCAATGAAACGAAAAAAATATTTTAATGCTTATTTGTATTGCCACTTTCTTAAATCACATGGAAGAAACAATAAGTATTAAACAAAATAATTCAAAAACTTACAATTTAAGAAATTAAATAATTCATATTTTTTTTATCTTTGATAACAATAACAAAGCGAACAGCTTAATATGTGAGCGGGTCGTGTCGGAGAATCGCGCGGTATGTAAACATTAAACCTCCCGAGCAACACTTTGATTCTGACGAAACCACAGAACGTTTGACATGACGTCTGATCAAAAGCTTAATCAAATCAGGAAATTTGATATGATGGCTTTACAGAGCTTAATATTTTTTTTTTAGAAGTGATAACTTCTTATGGCGCCTCCACATATGCCCGGCGGCACATGCATCTTATGATTTTGGGTATGCTGTCTGAAAGCCGGCGGCAAACCCGGCGGCATGTGTGGATACGCCATTATGGGTGGGTAAACCGCTTCGTTACGTAACGCGTTACGGCGCCATTTTGTCTGGCTTCCCTTCCTCTCACGCATACGGCAGCGGTGGGCAGGCTCCTTCTCTTTCACTCTTACCCGCAGCACCGCATAGATTAGTTTAAATTATCAGTTCTGTCGTGCATCCCGAGACGTACACGCTTTTTTTGAAACCATGACTTTTGAACATCGTGATCAATCGATCGATCTAGGAAGTAACACAAAAATACCATAAAAAAGAAGTTAATGAATTAATCACCGAAAAGGGGTTTCGTTTATCGTACTTCGATATTTGCAACTAAACTAGATGCGACACACTTAAAACAATAATAAATAGCTTAATAAATGATCTATGCTGCTTTTTATATACATATATGATACTTTTCAAGCAAAAAAAAAGCTAAACAATACAGCTCTATGTCATATTAAAATATGTGCATGAAAACTGTTTCGTCATATCAAAATGTTACTCAAGATAAGAAAGTCAAGGGACGGGGTTTTCGGGTCATCACAGAAAAACAGGCCGAATAAACCCCGCCTACCGAACAGGAGAATGTAATCAGACATACGCGTCAATCATTATGTACTAGTTATAACAACAGATTTAATGTGAACAAACCTTACAAAAGCCTTCTTTTTCTTCATTAAATGGCTCGTTTGTATTCACCACAATTCCGCCAAATTTTAAAGAGTACCATTCTCATAATTACGTCAACAAATCAATGAGTTTCGGGCGCATAACATCCGCCATTTTCATTTAACGATTTACAGACGCACAGCTCTGTTGAATAGGGATGATGACTAATTTTTTTTTCTTCGTTTAACAGGTAGTTGATCAAAAAGTATAGGACACGTATTTTTTATTTTTTCACATAATATAAACATTGCAGAGATATATTGATTTGAAAAGTCGCATGACGTCACGTTTTGGTACACTTTTAAGTGAAAATTCACTAAAAAGTGACGTCAAACTTCAGACAGACTCCCAAACTTTGAAGCGCTATAACTTTGTTATATTTTGGTTGATTGCCCAAAGAAAAAATTGAAATGGTCCATTATTTTTTGATCATCTAACTGACGGACTAAATACAATTTCGTTTACTGTACCCCGTCATCACCCCTATTGTTCACAGTAAATGTCTCGTTACAACGAGTACAGTACAAAGATAGCGACAAAAATCAATTACTCTACATCATTAAAAATATAAGTCGCGGCAAGAAACTCTGGGGCTGATCATTATTGCGCAGGAGTAAAAATAAAGATGGCTTGGGGGGAAACGAGGTACGCGGGTGGGCGTGCGTCTCGCCGATTGGCTCTCCAGTCGTACCCATACACAGCTATCCCCTCCGCGTTTTATTCAGCGCTAGATTTACGTGCCGCGACCTCTACATAATTATATTTAATATACCTACGGTCATCCTGTTACGGACCGATAGAATTGGTATTGCAGCTCACATTTCGATCGGTAACAGTTCTACTTTTATAAATAGCCTCTTAACGTCGCGCTCTTTAAAAAGCAGTACAATTATGCAACTACATCTCTTTGTACAGGAACGATGCTGCCATTATCATCCGTCCTTTAGAGCACACACAATACAATAATACACTTTTAATGTATTGAATGAACATTTTGGTATTAATGGTTTGTATTACAGCATTAATGTAATAGAAAAATCGAGTGCTGACACAAAACGTACGGTAACGTACGTGTTTACCCAATTACGGCCGTATTAAAGGCGCAATGAGGACGAACGACTGGCACGCACATCGTTATATTGCAGAATACGCACTCAAAACTATGCGGGAGGCTTGGCGGCCCACGCGACATCCGAACACGTGTACTGTATAGAAGGTTGCCTTAACACATAAACACAACTTCACCAAAACAAAGTACGTTAGGAGTCAAAAAACATTATTTCTCTTTAAATACTACATCACTAATGTCTATGTGCCCGCAGCTTAGCAGGCTCTGTTGCTCGGGTGACGCGCTCGGTATGTGCGTATATATCAGAGTATTGCATGCACAATCGGATCTATTGGTAATTTCCAACTAACTTTTTGTAATTCATACAAATCTTGTCCCATTTACGAATCCTCCTAATACAGTTAATTGTAACAACAGATTATGAAATTACATAGGTATTGCTGCATCATTTGAAACTGTGAATTATGCTCCTGTCAATTTGGAACACAATACTGTAAAGACAAATGTTACATGAAAATATCAATTGTCATGGACTAAGCCGCTCGGAGGGTTCCCTTTGGGCACTTCGAAAAGTCGTTCCGAATGAGTCGTCGTCGAGCAAAATAATTGCATCGCAACAAGCTTCTGTATCTTAATAATTATAAAACTAAGCATTGTGGTGAACGGAAATATATTAGGTATAAAATGTGTGAGCAAAAATTGTTAGGTGAGGAAAAGGCTCAACGATCTTCGATCGATACACATCACCGAGCGAGCCGTCACAAGCGACTACCAACCAGTTAGTCAAAATACTTCATTACAATATTTCCACAAATAATTTACTTAATATTATATCATCCATTAGTACTACAAAAATGTCTTAACAAAGGACAGTATCGAATAATAAAAATATACAACACCAAAATCTTTATTAGTAGGTACACTAAGCACAAGAAAAAAAAATATTATATATAATAAACTGTACTGGTTTCATACTACTAACGAGACAATTAAAACAAATCGAGAATTATCAATTTGTACAAGAAATTACGCAATGAGAATTATCGGTTTACCTTACGAGTAATGCAAGTTTGTTGGGACCCAGTGGCAGGCGGCTGCCGTGAACAGGTCAAGTTACGCTGGCTCTGCCCAAAATCATGTCAGATTTGAACACTATCTAGATAAACCAGTACATCGAGAGCTATCCGATCTTGTCAATACAAAGAAAATTGTCAATTAAAATCATGCGTGTATATTTAATTTACAGATGACATGTCAATAAAATTTTAGTACTGGAATCACTTAGTTTCGGGAGAATACACAACATACGAGAGAGACAAGAAAAAATGATTAATTACTTAAAAAAATGCAAAGCTAAAGAGAAATAGAAATAAATGAAAGTGTATAGAAGAACTAGAAAATAATTATAACAGTTGCATTAAATATACACAGACAGCTGTCATTATCGACAAGATTTGGGAATCAAATGTACCCTAGGATAACACCTCAATAGCTAGTAACGGATTCACCTGCTATTTTAAAGAATTCTTAAGACAGATTTTGGGTAGCGCCAGCTTACGTATATCGAGTGCGTGTGACGTCAAGTCACTTTTCTATATCACTACGACTTTGTACTTAAGCTACCGGCAAGAAAACCGCAGCGACGGCGGCCGAGCTAGAGCGTACATTCAGCGCCGACAAACGTCTGAAAAACGAACTTATATGCGGGTTATTGTTTTAAACTTTCATGGTCACTAAAATTATAGCTATTGACGGGATTGTTACCATGTACCTTGTTTTTATGAGTCTCCGATATTTCGGCACTGTTGCAAGCTGTTGCACTGTTGCTTGCAACAGAAATATCGGAGACTCATAAAAAACAAGGTACATGGTAACAATCCCGTTAATAGCTATAATTATATGCGGTTGTCATAAGGTAGAAATTATGTCAGCATACATGGCGACCTAGTTTACTACTTTGTTTTAAATACCTACTAAATTAACGATTGGTATCCAATCCTGCTCGCGATTGGCGCTGGTTGACGCGTCTAGAATAAATAGCTTGTTTAGTGGTTATAAAGTCTTTTCACATAGCATTGGTACGTTTGTGTGTGTTATAGGAAAATTAAATTGATTTAAATGGAAATAAGGTGCTATTTCATTCATCTTACAATAGAACATGAAGCTTACAACCGTTTCAAAGAAGCGGAATGTTCTATAACACAGAGCAACGTGACACGACCGGAACTCAGTGCCAAAATAACACTATAGTCTTGACTGTTCTGTCATTTTGACATTACCTTTGAATATTTTACCAGTTAAATCTTGAACTGTTAATTATGACATAATTAACATGTTGAAACTTGAAAGTGAGTTCATCGTAATACCTTATTTATTATGGTTTTCTAGTCTTCAGAATGTATTTGAGATGTTCAACTGTTAATGGGCAACTTATTATAAAATAATAAGTTCGATGCACTTGAATTACTTTGCCTTGACACAGATATGACTATTATGAAAAAATAATGTATTATTCTGGTACCTGCATACTTATACGAAATGCAAAAGTTGCAGGACAATTTCATTTTAATTAAAATATGCACAATGAACAATTTGTATACGCCTATATTTTTGCATATCCATTAATTTAAATTTTCTTCGTTGCCACTTCAATCATGTCTTATTTTATATCCATCCATATCTTATATCTGCCAAATCTTCTGCTCAAATTCTAAAATCTTATAAATGATAAAACCAAATTCATTAATAGAAGAATTTAATGAGGACCTTAAAAATATGCTAACAGCATCAAAAATTACTAGTTCCATGATAATTGTGTTAAATCTTGGCACTTCACTAAAAACAAATATGCATACCGTATAAAAAAATATTAAAGCAACCAGAAACGCCTGACGGATCTCATTACGAACTCTATCAAAAGATTAATTAAATATTTTTATCATTTATTCCTTGCAAGTAAATAGTAAAAGCTATATGTAAATAGATTATTAAATATCTAAAGATACATTTGGGTGATATAAACTTTAAATGGAATTAATTTTTGATTTATTTAAATTAATTTTTTAATTAACTTTATATTAATCTCCGGTACAGTAGTAACGCAATTTGGACGGACTCATTTCTATTATAATTGAACGGTACCTATTACGTTTCCTCTTCTATAGAATCAGATGTATCTTTGTACAATCGAAATTGGTGGATGACCAATTTTGGGCTAATTCGCTTGTGCGAAACCAGATGTAGGTTTGTCACTAATAGTTACAGTTTGATCGACTATCTCTTACAAATGTATGTGACAAACGATTTCCTCGGTTGTATGTATGCGTCGAGTAACGGAAACAATATATTTATGTATGAACACACTACAGATAGTCGCTATAGAGAGAGATTTCGAACACAAAATATGTAGTCATATAGTAAAAATTGCAAGATTATAAACAGCACACCGTATAGATATAGTTTTAAGCAAACACACCGTATATTTAGTAACTAATAATATAACATATTAGTGCGACTCATAGTATATAAAGATACCCTTTCCGCTACAAACTGTTTACGAAAGAGGTATAAACAAAATGTATTATTTATTACTATACAAGTTCAGCGAAATCCAAGCGTTTCTGATCGCAAATCCATGAAGTACCAAAACCTGACATGCAAGAATATTTGGGCGGTCGTTAACCTTGTATGGAATACACGGCTTGTATGGTAACTCTGGTCACAATCCCCTCAGGTTCGAGTGGTCTAGAGGCTCCAGACGGAGAGGCGACTCCCCCCGTGGGGAGATGTCATCCGCCTGGAATACCTCTAGAGGCACTCGCCAATTCTCGGCTTGAGGTCCCCTTAGGATCTCGCCGTCCCCAAACCCGGTGACGCTGTAAGGGTCATCTGCGACCAACAGCAAACACACCCAAAAAATATGGCCACAAAAAGGCCTTTCTGATGAAGCGGCGCGTGCAGTGATTATTAAATATTTGCAGTATATTTTCGACGTTTATTAATTAACCAGCCCACGCTGGACTCAGGTCGAATATAAATTGAATATGCCAGCTGCTATTTAAGATTAAATAGTACCGCTTTCGTTCAGCGGACTACGGTTCTGTAAGCAACCGTCACTGGTATTAGAAAGACAGCGAATGATGTTTACGGTAATAATATAGCTATGCTATTGACGTTTGGTGGGGTTTTCGGGAAAAATTACGCCGCCAGTAGGCGTCACTAGAGTTGTGATGTTTTTGATGCAAAACAATTGAGCGAGTACTATGGTAGTTTTCCAATTACAGAGCATAATGCGACTCAGTGGCGCACAACGCCGAATTATGCTGATGCTTAATTGGAACGCGAATTAGTTTTCAAATGCACCAGCAGAGTGCGTTAAGTTCAATGTTGAAAAAAAATGTCAATTGATGTATATGGATGAAGGATCCATACTTATATTTATTTTTTAACACAGTTTGAATTAACTTTGATTATTTATAAAAAACAACAATGAAACGACAGCTTTAAAAAATTTTCAACAATAAATAATATATAAATAAAACATTTCGATCAACGCCAACTTAAAGAAAAAACACTTGTTAATTTTCTGTCACTGAGTTGGTACGATTGCACGCATCATACGAAGACATTACTTTTGAGAGTGCTTGATTGTGCGAAGCGTTGCTGCAGTTTAAACAGACAACGTTAAGCAATATGCGGCATAATGCGCTCTAGTGCTGTAATTGGAAAACTACCTATGAATACTCTGTCATCAATTCACAGACAGACATGGATGTGAACGTCTTTTTTTCTGGGTGGTGCCACCTGGCGGCGTTCTTTTCACAAAACCCTATTGTTTTCTCACGGTGATCTGCTTTAATGCAGGGTGACTCTATTTATACAGAAATTGTATGTGTTCATGATATGAATGTTTCACCCTATTTTAATAAACTTTTGCTCTAAGCAAATTTCATTCCTTCCTCCCTCGTCGCGATTCAACACTGCAAGCACATTAGAACTAATTAACTAATAATTCTAACATAGAAGTGAAACATAATAATTAACAAGTAAGAGCAACGATTAAGCAATCAATAAATGTCAACGGAAATAACCTTCTTTACTCTCTTGAAAATGTTCAATAAAAAATGAGAAGTATTCATAAAGAAATTGAACCCCAACTTGTTTAGCAGCAAACAAAGAAAGTGTTCGAAATTTATTGAACTATAAGTCTCAAAAGCCTATTTAAACGCATGCGCGTTAAATAACTTTTTCATTTCTTTATAATTATTTGTTCTTGGATTACCGATGGTTGTATCTATGAAAAATACATTTACTTAGATATTACGTTATCATAGTAATACTTCTAGGTGATGAGTATTTTATTAGGTATGCTTCTGATATAATAGACTATCTACATTAATGTGCTCTTCGTTAATAAATTGATCATATGCTGTTTATGAAACAAGGGAAGGATGTGCACAGTAAATCAATACATAATTTGGATTCAAAAATAGTTTCATATTGTTTTTAATATGCCAAAAAGATTGTTTTTATATATAGTGACTGTGTGATAGAGCTATTCGATTACGTAACATTGAAGGCAAGTTTTAACATTTTGAGATCAATACAGTTGTTTTCATTGATGAAGATTATATTTAGAGGTTCTAGCTGACATCACAAAGATATTGATTTCATCATCCCTAAATTTTTAAGGGATTTCAGGAAACGCCACTATTTGGCGCCATTGTAACATTGAAATTCTAGTTCGAACTTATTGGCGAAAATTCATCAAATGGGTATTATAAACATTATCTGATTGGTTCAGAAAGATGACGTCACATCGCGACTTATTCGACGAATAAGTGGACCTCTCTCCTAACGTCCCTTATTTAGAAAACTCACAATTCGGGTTGTATTATAATTAGAGGATACGATCCCGGAGCCCGGGATCCCGGTCATATTTTAGTCCCGAAATTTTCGGGATTAAATGTAATGAATCCCGGAATTTTCGGGATTGATACATTTTTTATATAAGTCAGTAAAAATGTGCATGAAACGAAAAGCGCTTACTTTCATTTGATGTTTTGACGGCCATCATGTTTACACAGCTGACTTCATTTATTTTTGCTAACGACCGGTACCGGATTATGCGTAAAAGTGTGTAAAAATTCCGCTTCACGTCGTGTATTTATAGTTTTTTTTTTGTTAATTGGTGTTAATCAATGAATTTATTAAAAAACAACAACAACAACTAAGTAATTCTGTAAATAATTTTTGAAAAATTTCATCATCATTAAAATAATTTATGAAACCATCTCACAAATCATTATTATTGTAGCCTAGTTTGTTTATTTTATCAGAAGAAAGTATAATTTTGTTTTGTTTGTTAAAGATTTAAAATAAAAAGTTGATTTTGATATGTTCTACTGTCTTTTTGTTACCACTTTATATTACCAATACAATCCCGGGACTATTCCAGGATCCCGGGATTAACTGTAGATAATCCAGAAATCCCGGGATTAGAAAAATCGACCGGGATCGAATCCTCTAAATAAAATCGATTAAATATGACTCATTTTGAAGGTTATAATAGTTCAAAAATACAATTCAACTATGTGATAAATGACCTTCTGGTAACAAGGAACCCTGTTACTAGGCCAACGTTATCCGGTCGTCTGTCGGCGAGCTATATCTCATGAACCGTGATTAGTAGAGAGTTAAAGGTTTCACATAGTCTCTATTTCTCATGCCACTATAAATTACAAAAGGGGAGTTAGATACTCATACAAAAAACGTTTAACTTCAGCGTTGATTGCTCGACCTCAGTGATCATGTTTTATTAATCTTTCACCATGACACGAGATTAAGTTTGTTTTATTTTACACCGGCATGAATGGAACGACGGATACGCGTTAATCAATAAACCTTCAAAAATGATCAGCTTCATTCCATCATGGAAAACAAATGAAATCTTTACGAGATAGCAGGGTGATCGTGTGATTATTTTCATACATCGCCAACGCCTAAAGTGAACACTAAGCGTATTATATTCATTATTAAACTCATTAAAAACAAATTAAGAAATCAACAATAACACTTCTCAGTTTCCTCCGTTTAAACATTTAACCTAACACCTTCTGACGAGCCAATCCAACGCAATATTGACACACAGCAAGAGTAAGTTAAATGCCTACATCTCACTGAGTACAAAATTGAGAACAGTATTCATTATATCAAAACACGCCTCGACGAACACCCATACAATGCGTTTCCAATAGTATACGTAATCCTATTAAAAATTTACTTTTAAATTACGCACGCGATCCTTTCCTTTTTTGGTAATTATATTGTTATAAGTTTTACCTAATGTACAGTCAGTCACTTAAGCCGGGTTTCCAACGCGTGTGTTGCCCTACACAATCAACAAAAACATATCAACATTCAACAAAATCGTCTACACAAAACTTTGTTTCACCTCACATATTTGTTTGCATCAACAATGTTTTTTGCTTTTACGAGCCCGATGGAAAACACGTACACAAATCCAGTCGCGCGGGTCGAGCGGGAGGGTATTGTTAGATTAGATTAGATTTCTTCAGTGGCGGCTCCCTCAGAATTTAGCCAGGGTATTGTTTCATCGACCATTTTTCTGACAACTCGCTAGCGGGGGATCCGTTCCAAACCTACGCTCCGAGTACATTTTTTCACTCTGTCATTTCAATTTTGACATTATGAATGCACGATACTTTTGTCAGACATTAGGTGCACCTGGATCGTAGTTTTAGAACGTAGCTCTGTGTATTTTGTGGACGACATCCGCGTTAGCAGTAGACGGCGTGTGTAGATAAACATGTTACAGAAACAAAGTTTTGTGTATGTTTTTGTTGAATGTTTTCAAAAAACTTTTTCTGGAGACCCGGCTTCATATACACTAATAGATCATTAACAACGTTTGTGACGTTACATTTCACGAATGATTACGAAAAGATTTTAAACATCATATCTGGTATGAGAAAGAGAAACGAAAATAATGCAAACCGGTGTGTCATTAAGTGTAAGCTAAAGTTATAACTTGCTTCTAAAGCTACAGTTAAGATAAATGAGCAAAGAATTTTAATATTAACCCCGATGCATATTTCTCTCCTACACCCAAACATTTAATTCAAGTACAAATGACATTGATCTGTGTAAACATTTGCAATATACCACAATTTTAGTTAAGCATCTATTTATCTAATGGCGCTAACGTAAGAAAAGAAAATAGATAATTTCAAAAGATTTCACCTAAATAATGTGCAAACCATGTATCTGTGATTCCACAAATTTAAAACCTTCACGGGTTTTTTATTTACATAACACTGTTTGGTCTTTGTAATTGTCTTGTATTCTAAAAACGTTTAAAGTACAGTCTTCTGTACAGTCGAGTAAACTCAGGCTTTACATTCAGTTATAAAGACATTTAAACCGATTTGTCCTTAGAGTGTAAACGGGCAGATTATATTTGTGAAATGCAAAAGATAATTTATTATGTCACGTGAGTGTGTGAGCTACTTAAGATTGGTAGATGTGTTTGATAAGTGGACATACGGACCGACTGTGCGAAAAAAGGCTAAGGTACACACACTCACGGAAAGACCCGCTCTGTCACCCATAATGCCATAATCGCTTGCGGTAGCGGCGTAGTAAAAATTCATTCATAGACATGTAATTATCGCTGTCTTACTTTTCGTATAGCGCTGTTGCGATCACGATGCGAATGACAAATTGCAACAAAAACAAATGCAATTCAATTCATTATTCAACCAATGAAATGCTCTCTGTCTTACTTTTGTGCGGCGGCCCGGATTGGCGCGTCCGATGCGAAGGCGGGGCGTAGTAAAAACTACTGTAGAAAACCGTTCAAAGCATTTTGTTCACCAAGTGACAGAGCGCAAAATTCCGCGATAGTACAAAGAATCTCGCTTAGAGACAAAATGCTCGCAAAAAAATGTTGCCAACTGAATTGTTTTAACTGAAATGGCATTTAGCGACTAAAACGAGTAAAAAGAATGCATGCATTGCACAAACTGCTAGTGGACTTCCGTGCCCATAAGTTTTACACCTTATTGTGGACGTATTAGAACAGCATATTCTTGTGAAACCAGTGTGAATTCATTAGTTGCAAGATGCTTAGACATAACGTCAAGGATTGTTAATGATACTAATAATAAACGCATATTATAAAACCAATCGCAGTGCTGTATTGAATCAGACAATTATTTTCTGGTTGAATGAGTAGGTATACAGGATACACCAAAAATTATAGGTGTTTTTTTTTATTGGCGAGGTATATCACGCTGGGCAAGATGCTAATAATGTTCGGTGAATCATTTGGAAATCCGTGAAGTCTATCCCTATTTCTGGGAAACATTTATTCTTCTGTTCTTCTATGTATTATTCTGACTGAAACGTTAATAAATAAATAAATTTCGTGCATTAACCCGTTAAAACTAGTTTTATTTAATGAGTGATGGGCGTGAAAACCTAAGAAACAAAATAAATCATTTATCTCATTTAAGGCCACAGAAGCACGTACTAAACAAGAAATAGCAATAAAGCGGCAAATACCCTACTCTCAAAGCATGTAATATTCTTAGTAGTATCTACATTCATTAAAGGTGACACATGACTGCAATAATTTATTCAAAATAACTTATGTTACACTATGAAGTAGTAGAAATTCGTTTTTAATGTATGTACATGACGTAGACTGAGTCTAACAGTCAAACTCAGTCATCAATAAAATTTTCGGGTTGACTAAAGTTGATGCCGTCTCTTTCTTTACGATAACAATAGAAAGAGACAACACGTGATTTTAATGAAGCATTACATTGTGACATTTCTGTGTAGACGGAGGCAATGGGAAAATCGACAAAATTCGGTTGCTGATTGTCATCACTGTCACTCCTTCTGAATTGGACAAAGAAGTTTAGGAATCAAAGACTCCTTTATCTAGATCTTAGGAAATGAGAGGCAATTTCTTCGACGGCAGTGGCAGTGATCATGTTAGTCGTATATATTTATATATACGATCATTGACAACTCATAGGTATTATCCAGATTATAAATAAGACTTATATTTTAACAAGAGTACAACCAAGGCTGCGTATAAGTTATTGCTCTTTAACAAAGGCGCTGTCAATAACTTCACACATTAACACGGGTACAAAATATCCCCGTTGTCAAGCTGAAATAACATCTAACGCGTCGACACAGTATTGCGAAGTTTAAGCGTAATACTAAGACATTTACAACACAACATGGCGATAATGCCATAATAAGCCGAAACGCATCTTATAGTATTGGCTTAGCGTCGATATTGCTACAATCCGGCAAGTTTCTAGACTCGCAGTCGACTACACGATTGGGTGACCGTTAAGCTGTAATGAGTTTTGTGGCGTCGTCTTAAGGTTGTTTTTACCAGGTGTCATGCCGGTTTGGGGGCTCATTTCTTAGTGGGAGTGCCGCGTTGTGTGAGCCCCTCGAAACGTTTAAACGTATAATTGATGAATACCCAGTCCTTGTACGCCACTTCTCCTTCTTGTGATATTGGTGCCGCTGCTGTAACAATATTCTCGATTACAAAGTGTACAGAATCATAAAGATAACATGAGGTAAAAGTGTTCTGGAATTAAAATTAAACTCAGTCAATTGGAAAAAAAATGACTGTCGATTGTTTATTCATCAAAGTGTCTGAAAGAGTGGATTTCTATGTATACTATAGATGGTTAGAGTACTCTTGTTGTTCTAGCGCCTAGCTTGACACCAGAAAAGCGAATCATGAAATATAAAGTTCATGTCGGTAGCTGTCTCGAATTTTTCAGTGGGATAATAGTAAGGTTTGTACAGTGTGACCAAGGCATTGTGGCGCGTGGCTGAATTCGGAACTAACTTTAGAAATGTGACTCAAAATATTTCAGTGGGATGGTAGTAAGGTTTGTACAGTGTGACCAAGGCATTGTGGCGCGTGGCTGAATTCGGAACTAACTTTAGAAATGTGACTCAAAATATTTCAGTGGGATGGTAGTAAGGTTTGTACAGTGTGATCAAGGCATTGTGAGGCGTGGCCGAATTCGGAACTGATTTTAGAAAGGTGAATCAAAATGTTTCAGTGGGATAGTAGTAAAGTTTGTACAGTGTGATCAAGATCTTGTGGCGCGTGGCTGAATTCGGAAACATTTTAGCAAGTTATATCAGCGTTTTATTTTTAGGGGAAAGTGTAAATAAGCCTTTTGTATGTCCTATTATAGGCCGGGAGCTGGTGACAGGTGACGTTCCACGATTTTGTTGTGCATGCCTTTTTAGGCTTGATATCTTGATATATGTGAATAAGCCCATCGTATTATAAATAATAATAAAAGTTAAATAAGGGACCAGAGTGTGTTTATTACAAAAACTTCCATTCTTTATATCGGCATGCAATTTCAAAACACGGAATTGCCCTTTCATTTTTTTCTGGTTTTCAGAATCCTATGATCATCTTGGGCCGCTGCGGAGTGCTTGCCATAAATTATTAGTTTGAATTTGTATTAACTTCTGTATATTACAATGGCATGCAGTATACAATCACGGAAAAACACGAAAATTCGCTACACAAAGAAAAGCGCTTCTCCTTATGAAGAGGACGCGCCGGGGGCTAAAACCCCGACTATCATTGATATTTTAGGGTTAGTTATCAAGCCTTAAAAAGGCATGCACGACAAAATCGTGGAACGTCACCTATCACCAGCTCCCGGTCTATTACTCTTTCCGTGATATTGTAAACTAGTGGCCCACCCTCGCTTCGCTTCGGTGTAGAGCTGTAGTGTAGACTATAGATTTTGTTCTCAGGCGTGTATTGTACACAATGAATTTATTTATTTAATTCTTTTTCTATGATAATTTTTTTATTGAATAGGTAATAATCTTAACTTTTTTAAATTAGGGATGAGTGAGAGTATTATAAACGTAAAAGTAAACAAATATAATCAGAATGCTCCGAACTGCTAAGCTATCAGGAGTTACACGTGTTATTGTGAGTCAACCATAAAAGATAGACATATGCTGTTGCAGAATATTTTTTAGACAATTTTATGTAGAATATTTCCGTCATACATGATTTCTATGTAACTTTAACCATTAAGGCTACGCACGCGACGGAAGCTTAAAAAATGGAGTAACTTCTCCCGTTTTCCCAACATTTCCCTTCACTACTCTGCTCCTATTGATTGTAGCGTGATGAAAAGTATACTATAACCTGCCCAGGAGTATGAAGAATAATTGTACCAAGTTTCGTTAAAATCCGTCGAGTAGTTTTTGTTTCTATAAGGAACATACGCACAGATAGACAGACAGACAAAAATTTTACTGATTGCATTTTTGGCATCAGTATCGATCACTAATCACCCCCTGATAGTTATTTTGAAAAATATTTCATGAACAGAATTGACCTCTCTACAGATTTAATATAAGTATAGATTACAACGTTCTCTTTAGTGAAGAGAATTCGCGTACTTTGTTATCCTCATTTCACCGCTTATTCACCAGCAGCGTCCTCTTATCAATTTCATAAAAGTGCCACAAGATCTTGGTCGCATTCAATGTGTTGTGTTCGTGTTCAGTCCCCGTAGCACGCGCACCACAATTTACATTATATTGCGTTGAACTGTCAAACTCTAAAGTAATTTGACAATTGAGCGTGATAAAAACGCGTTTTTTAGCACGACAACTCGTAAGAAGAGGAAGAAGGAGAAGGAAAAGGGGTTGAAAACGTCCCAGTAGGATAGTAGGGCTTGTGTGTGTTTTACAATTACGAAAACTATGATAGTTTTCGTGAGCTACCACTCGTACTAAGGGTACCGATTTTATTGTTTCCGTATCAATACAAATAAACAGTGTTTAAATTCTATCATTAAACCATTTGCGTAAATTAAATTAAATTATAGCTTAAATTTTAAGTACATATACTTTTCACCAAAATGGATAAAGAAACATAATTTTTCAATTACGAAAACTATGATAGTTTTCGTGAGCTCAAACTCGTACTAAGGGCACTGAATACTTACGTATCTCCAGCTTGACGTCGGGGAAGTCATCGAAGTTGGAGGTGTCGTCTATGGAGCGCACCTCCACGGAGATTGCGGCCGGCCGCTCCCGCACATGGCTCCAGTCCACGCCGCGGAAGAAAGGCACGGATTTCACGTCCTCTATGCCGCGCTGCGAGCCTAACCTACGAAGCAAATATATACGATGAGCAATCTCATCAGCCTATAAACACCCCCATAACTGAACCACAAGGCTGCAACGCGTATATATCCACTTCCAAAATGAGTGCACATTCAAAGTGGTCGCATGATTGCACATGGCTCCAGTCCACGCCGCGGAAGAAAGGCACGGATTTCACGTCTTCTATGCCGCGCTACAAGCCCAACCTACGAGGCAAATATATACATTGAGCAATCTCATCAGTCTTTAAATGCCCTCATAACTGAGGCACAAGCCAGGCTAACCAGACAAGGCTGCAACGCTTATATATCCACTACCAAAATGAGTGCACATTCAAAGCGGTCGCATAATTGCACGTGGCTCCAGTCCACGCCGCGGAAGAAAGGCACGGATTTCACGTCCTCTATGCCGCGCTGCGAGCCTAACCTACGAAGCAAATATATACGATGAGCAATCTCATCAGCCTATAAACACCCCCATAACTGAACCACAAGGCTGCAACGCGTATATATCCACTTCCAAAATGAGTGCACATTCAAAGTGGTCGCATGATTGCACATGGCTCCAGTCCACGCCGCGGAAGAAAGGCACGGATTTCACGTCTTCTATGCCGCGCTACAAGCCCAACCTACGAGGCAAATATATACATTGAGCAATCTCATCAGTCTTTAAATGCCCTCATAACTGAGGCACAAGCCAGGCTAACCAGACAAGGCTGCAACGCTTATATATCCACTACCAAAATGAGTGCACATTCAAAGCGGTCGCATAATTGCACGTGGCTCCAGTCCACGCCGCGGAAGAAAGGCACGGATTTCACGTCCTCTATGCCGCGCTACAAGCCCAACCTACGAGGCAAATATATAGATTCAGCAATCTCATCAGCCTTTAAATGCCACCATAGCTGGGGCAAAAGCCTGTCCACGCCGCGGGAGAAAGGAACCGATTTCACGTCCGCTACACCACGCTGCGAGCCTAACCGGCGACGCGAATATTAACACTGGGCAATCATTATTATCAGCCTACAAATGTCCCCATAGCTGGGGCACAAGGCAGTCCACGCCTCGGAAGAAAGGTACGTCCTTAATACCACTAAATATCTCCACTGCCGGGGCACTAGCGTACCCTATGGGTGCAATACGGGGATTGGGCCATGACCCACCACGCGGGCCCAGTTCGGATTTGTGACGACTGCAGATGCAGCCGGGACCAACGGCTTAACGTACCTTCCGAAGCACGGAGCTTGTTATCTCACACTCCCAGGTTGAGCCGTGAACAAGTATAGGTAAAAAGAACTTCTTGATCAAAATGGTCGATGCTCAAGAAATTTGATAGACAGACACACTTTGGCATTTATACTATTAGTATGGATTTTGATTGAATACCTGCGGTCAGGCTCTGAGCAGAAGCGCAGGATGGTCTCCCTAGCCTCCTCGCTAATCGGTATCTCGGGCGGGAAAGTGAGCGATTCCCGCCACGACATCACCTTGCGGTACGTCTCCTGCGGCGACTCCGAGCAGAATGGGGGGTAGCCGATCAACATTTCGTACCTGCAATACAAGTTTTATTTTTAATATATTTAATTTTAATCATTTAACTGCTAGCTGTATATATCTAAAAAAAAAACACCAGAAAAAATCACATGGTCCAGGCAGCAGCGGTTTCACTGAAGCTGCGCACTGCAATGCTGCAAGAGCTTAAGAAATACTAAAAGAAATTCGACACGCCCATTGAGGTCGCAGTATCATAATCCACCCGGATATCGGTGGGTGCGGGTTCGAGTCCCATCTGCTGCTTGGATCGTGTACTGTTATTTCTACTAAAATTTTCTTAACTTTAATTTTTATTTATAAATATGTGGCTGACATAGCTACGACGTGATAAGAATCGCCATTCTTTTGTTGCTGGCCTCAAAAGACCCTCATATCGTAGCGCAAAGCAAATACGTCTTATCAGACATCCTCCCAATTCGCGGGAAAATAGAACGAATGGCTGGTTTTGATATGGAAATTTGAGTTTGGATGAAATAGGCTATATTTTATGGCAGCAAAACAAAATCAACCAAAATATGCTAGGGCACAAACCACAGGCCAACGACCTTTGGTAGATAGTGGACAGATTCACATAGACTAAACGAGATATAACACTTTGCGAGTCCAGTATCCCTAGCACGAACCATTATCGAATTCGAATAGTTTGCAAACCGAAATTGTCAAATTTTGTATAGAAACTTGAACAGCGGCACAAAATACGTAACGAGAACTAAATATCAATAAACATTTGACAATGACATTTCGCACTCGCAAACTATTCGAATTCGATATTGGTTCGTGCTAAGGGTATAGTACCCCTAGCACGAACCATTATCGAATTCGAATAGTTTGCAAACCGAAATGTCAATGTCAAATTTTGTATGGAAACTTGAACAGCAGAGCCACAACAGAAGTAACGAGAACTAAATATCAGTATACATTTGACAATGACATTTCGCATTCGCAAACTATTCGAATTCGATATTGGTTCGTGCTAAGGGTACAGTACCTATTGTATGCTACAAATACAATCGTAACCAACGGCTTATCGTGCGTCACGAAGCAAAAACGAGCTGGGTATTACAATTATTTGATTTGCAATTGCGTAACTATTTATGAATAAAAATTATTGTTTTTGGTTTGCTTGTGATAAATAAGGGCTTTAGCAATAATCAAATACATTTTATTTAAATTTTATTGATCAACAGTAGAATCGCGCATATCGCTTTCACAGTGAAGCTGCTTTTGTAGTTATTTCAAATAATGTGTGAAGTGCAATTGATCTATATAATAGTATATTCACCCTATAAGCGCTTCGCTTACGGATTAAAACTACATATATATTTAAAGTATTTGATTAATACTTATTAACATAGAACAAACACAAGTAAAAAAAAACAAAGGACAAATATTTACAGAAAGTCGCTTTGCAAATCAAGTAGCATCATTATATTCATTGCCATTGAAAATATATAAAACAATATATCGCAAGACATAGTTCGCAAAGACAGAACAACACAGGACAGAAAAACGTGCATTAATTGAATAGGTATATTTTATTCACAATGTATATGTATCAATGTATCAATCACTTTATTGCTTAAAATTAAAACAATATATTTATATATTTTGGATATTCTTATGGCTTAATTACATTTAGTCGCTAGCCCGTATTCGGGTGCACGAAAGACATTACTCGAATTCGGGCACCCGAAGCAATATTTACACTGGAATACGGGCTGGAAAGCCGCGTATCCACTAGAGGCAGCCTCGCGTCGAGCGGCCTCAACTTGAAGCAAATAGCCTCAGTTTGAGGCTGCTCGCTCTGAGGCAACGGCTACGGATCAACTCGAGGCGTGTCGCCTCAGCTTGATCCGCCGGCGGCGCACTGCGCAGTTAAAAGCCAAAACGCGATGGCACCGCGCGTCGAGTAGCTGCTGCTTTAATAGCAATAACCATTATTAAGAAAAAGAGAAGGCAACAAAAAGCTATACAAAAGAAGAAGCATCGCTGGTGGATAAAAGAATTATACCGCAATAGAACTATACATGGATGTGAACACTTGCTATTGGGCATGACGTTGGAAGGTGGCGATAGCATTCGAAATTTTAGCGACCGTCTCCATTAAACACACGGCTCGGACTGAGGCGCGTTTGAGCACGGCACAGAAACCGACAAAATATGGCTCGGCTCGCGGCGACGAATTTGCCTCGCGTCGTCGGCGTGCCTCAGGTTGAGGCAGCGTCTCCACTTGCGCAGCCTCGGAGTGAGGCAGCCGCTCGACCCGAGGCTGCCTCTAGTGGATACGCGGCTGAAGACGGTGTCGGGGAACCAAAACGAAAACTACCCGAATACGGGCGTACTCGACTCCGTTCATTTACACTCAATCGTTTAGCTGAATTCCATTGGCACTCGTATTCGGGCTAACGACAAAGTGTAAAGGGGCCGTTTTATAATTTTACTATAAACATTTATGTACCCAATCTAACGTATCAAATTCAGTCTAAGCCAAATTAGCATGTCTATTATGTAAGAATAAGAACTAAATTCCTTTGAACTGCGCGTGGCCACGATTGAAGCACAAACAAATATTGCTAACGACGACGTACCTCACTTACAAACAGAGATATTAATATTATTTTTAAATAATAGTACATTGTTCACTTGATAAATAAATCGCTTGTGCAACAAATAAATAAATTTTGTATTTACATAAGAAACAATACAGAATATTAGTTGGGTTATTGTAGTGTTGTCAATGCGCCTTGACACGGTCTTATATTTGTTTGCATCGGACATTTCTCAATCTTTTGTTCACAATAGATACTTTGGTTACATAACAGCGCAGTTGAAAACTAACTATTGTGATGGTATTTATATTATGTTACTTATATCCGAATTGTAAGATTAGTGCAATGCGCTGTAGCACTTCGCCTTCTGCTTTTAAAGACATGGGTTTGAATCCCGCAAAGGGCTTATTATTTGCTTTGTTTGGCACTAAATAACACCTTGATTTTTACAAAAATGATAATAATATTTTGAACGTGAAGAGTAAAAAATAGCAACCCATTTAAGCAGAGCAGAATGACATAGTAAAAAGTTCGATAATCGATCACTGATTATTTTTATTGTTGGCTCAATAATATTTGGTCGTTAATAGTTGTTTGGTTCGGGTGCACAAAAGGCATTACTCGAATTCGGGCCGAAGCAATATTTACACTAGAATGGCTGGATGAGGATGTTAGGGGTAACCAAAACGACAACTACCCGAATACGCGTGTGCTCGAATCCGTTCATTTACACTTAATCCTTACCCGAACTCCATTGATTTTCTGATTCGGGCTAACGAGCAAGTGTAATAGTGCAACCACATACTTCTGAAACATTTTGTCGTGTCTGATTGTGATATTTCATTTACATGAGGTTCTTTTTCTATTTATTTAAAAGGGACACGTCAGTCCTATTGAATCCTTATCTAAATATGTAGCATAGAGAAAATTAATAATTAAGCTAAAATAATTAAGTTCGCGGTGCTATTTGACATGCTTCACCATATCACATAACAGCTTAGCTGCTCCAGACATCATCATCAGCCGATTAATGTCCCCACTGCTGGGGCACAGGCCTTCCCTATGGATGGAATAGGGAGATTGGGCCATGACCCACCGCGCGGGCCCAGTGCGGATTGGTGGGTGCTAACGACTGCAAATGCAGCCGGGACCAACGGCTTAACGTGCCTCCCGAAGCACGGAGGAGCTCGAGATAGTAAATTTTTGGTCACCCATCCAATGACCGACCACTGCGAAAGATGCTTAACTTCAACGATCGCAGCCGAACGCGCTAGCCACCTGCGTCATCGAGCTCCTCTCTCCAGACATAGGTTCTCCTAAAATAATTTGGAAGACCCCGATGTCTAGCTTATTACATTTAAGTAGGGATATAAGCTCTTGTCGTCGTGGTACGTTTTTGACACATTCCATCGTCAAGTTGTAATATACATCATCAAGGATTCCACATACTTCACAATTTGGAGAATCAACTTTTTCATGAGGTACCCAAACTTGTTTGATGGATAGTGTCCAGAGCGGAGCCAATGGAACGTTATAATATATTTATTTAATTTAGTCTGTCTATCTATCTGTCTATTTAACTTAATGTTGGCATACCATGGGATCCAAAGAGGCTCACTTTGTATAGTTTCATACCCAATACCTTTGTCTCTAGATCATTCATTAAGATATTCTTTCCATATATCGTAACACAGTTATCTATAATTTTAAAGAATTTCAGTATAAAATGGTTTTACATTATGGGAATGTTTCTCATTTATGGCTACTTTTGCGAGACGGTCAGCCTCTCACGAGGCTTACAATCTATCAAAAAGCATGGGTAAACTATTATTATTATTTAAAAGATTTGACACACAAACAAGTCGATAAAGCACTTAATAATCAAATATGCATAAAAAACAAATGAAAGTGTAATATTCCTTCTCTGTGTGCTGTTATAAAACGAAGGTAGTTTAAAATGAGGTGGGTGATAACGCCCCCTAGTGGGCGCTGCAGGCAAGTAAGAAACCCAGTAAAAATGGAGTTGTCGTGTAGAGGCTTGTGTGGATCAATATATCTTCGCCTATTAATTAATTATTTGTTTATATAGATGTAATGAATTTTCCATCACTTATATATAATATATATATTAACTATAGTGACATTCAGTACCTCGCTCTTTCAATCTTTAAACTAACTTAGAAATTTGAATGTAACTCCTCTCTCCTATCTCTCATTTAATTGCGTGCCCGACAGGGTCCATAATGAACCTATTTTGTCATATTTAACATATTTTGTCAAGTACGGTCGCGGTCAAAAAATGTTTACCACCTTAAGGATGATAATTGCACGCACACATTTAGGTCAACAGTTCTAAATGTCTATTTCATAAGAACAAATAGTAAGATATTTATAACTAAAAACCTTAAAATATTACCTAAAATACATTATCTAAAGGAGTCCCTTTAGGCAAGGTTCCAAAGATACTAGCAGCGTACATATACATCCCAAATCCCAAACTATATTTATTCTTCTCCACATACACCCACACTCTAACACACACGCACACACACATGCACACATACGCACGTACGCACACACCAACACACAAACGCACGCAAACACACATAGACAAACATACACATACATACAATATTGATTTTAATTAAGCATTTATAACTGATTTCACTACGTTTGTTTTGTTACAAATATAATAATTACATATAAATTGTTAATGTGACGCCATCCTTTTTATTATATTAGGGTGCCCACGATACAGGTTTCTCCTAGTGTGGTAGTTTAGTCAAAATAAAAAATAAAATACACCTTTTATTATCTCTGTTATATATCTACGATTGTTTAAAAACTTTTAGAATTTGATTAATTAACGTGTTCATGATGTAACAACTTATTGAAATAAAATGTTTATGATTATTATTATTACATATTTTTGTACATTGTGGATATGCAATAAATGAATTGAATAGTCACTGTATACTCACATAATGACGCCCAAACTCCACCAGTCGGCCTGCGGGCCGTAGCCGGTTTGCAGGAACACTTCGGGCGCTATGTAGTCGGGCGTGCCCACGGTAGAATAGGCGAGCGCGCGCCTGTTGCGCTTCCACGACTCGGCGCGCCGCTTCGAGTCCATCGCGGAAGAGGACGTCGAAACTGGAGTGAGCAGAACGTCTGTAAAGTCGCCTGCCCTCTTTGCGGCAACGTCCGTTTCAAGGTTTCTCTGCCTCTTTAGACAGTTAGTAACTAAAAAATTCGATATTTACGACCTATTAGAGAGAGCTCCCAGTTTGGCGTGACGACAGATTGTCGTGCAGTCACAGAGCACCCCAAATAGAGACCGCATTACTAAAATTTAGTTTGAAATCGAAATCGCCCGAGTTATGGCGCGCGGGGAGGGGGAGCCACGTTTTGATTGGACACATCGATGCGACGAATTAAAAACGAAGGCCGCTAAAACATGATTCCAAACCCATACAGCTAAACGTCAATACTAACGCGACACGCACACAGACAAAACAAATTACTTTGACACATCATATAATGTTGTAAGGTTAAGATTATGTTAAACGGAAAACAAGAACAATCCCATGATCACCGTGTCGCCCGCAATTTTTTGACCCGCCCATTTGTACGCAGTTTGCTTGAAACCACTTTTTAGCGCAGTACGTATTCAATATTATTTCTAATTCGTTGCATAGGGGTGACGACTCGCACGGAATGATGGTATCGCCGTTGGTCGACGTCTGGGGGCGTGTGACACCCATTGTAGTATTACTACCTAGGCTAGAATAAATAAAAATAAAATAAAAAAATAAACGCAAGCTTGTGCCCTTGTATGCGGTCTCTAGCGAGTGTGCTCTGTGCGTACATTTCATCGTGTCGTCGGTTGGGTATTTAAATTGAGATGTTGACATAAAGGACGGCACAAATAATTCTCGGCCACGACTATTTTCATGCTGTGACTATAGATTACCAAGATAGTGGAAACGCACTACAGTCTCTATAATGGGACGACTATAATCTAGAGATTATAGTCGTCCAATGATCTATTAAAATTTACGACATGCCATTAATGGCTCAACTGCTGTGATGCAAGCCTTCGCTACAGATAGAATAGGCAAAGTGAGCTGTAACTCATCACGCGATCTTAAATCGACTACATTATGCTGTCGCGACCAAAGGTTTAACATGTCTCCTACACAAGCACGGAGAAGCTGGAGTTAGTAAATTAGATAATCATACATACATAAACACTTTTATATGAATATGTAGATTTATTTCACGTATTATTCGTATACGTGTTTCATGATTTTGGTTTTAGGGGCATACAAATGGAACTCAGGCACTGTCAAATTTAGGGTCGTTAAAATGAAATTATTGTATATTCCCTCGTCTGTGTAAGTGGATGATTTCTGCCACGAGTTGAGAAAATTATTTTCATTTTTCATATTTAGCCTTGTATCATATTTAGTAATAGTTTTTAATTTACACATCTACTATATAGATAAGTTTGGTTCAGGATTGATTTAAGACATAATTAAAGCTTGGATGTACAGTAGAACTCAAATAATTAGAAGAATTTCAGCCAGAATTTTAATTTTCAGCTGTGAAAATCAAAGTATAGGGCTACACAGACCACAGAATTTGATGCTCTACTCGAACCTAACCCTGCAAAGAATACATAGCTTAAATATATGTTATAGGCCTTGTTAATGCTATATATGAATGTTTAGATAATTTAAAATGTTCTTAAATATAACAAAGGTCTACTTTGTCAAGGTCTTTGTATCTAGTGTTAAGATTTTGAATGCAAAAAAAATGGTCAGAAATTCTAATCTTTAGACCTTGTCGCACAAAACAAAGCCTACTTTGTCCCTGGAAAGGAGAAATACCTTAAATCAATTGTTAACACTTTGATTGCAAGATTGTTCAAAGATTCTTAGAACTTATGGCTTACAACATAAGGTTCTGTATACAATATAAGGTCCTTGTATACAACATAAGGTCCTTGTATACAACATAAGGTCCTTGTACTCACTGAAATCTGATGCGGTTGCTCGGGACAAGTCGCGGTAGAAGTCGGTGCGGTGGCTCTTCTTGAGGCCGGTGCAGAGACCGAAGTCGCTCAGCTTGATGTGACCGCGCGCGTCCAATAGCAAGTTATCCGGTTTTATGTCCCTGAGTAGAGACGATAAACAATGTTATACAGCGAAAAATGTTAAACATTCTTTATGAAGTGAAACTACTGCCTGTGGCAAAGATGAAACGGAAATGCGCCACGAGCGTCACGCGGCTTTATATGTGTGTGTGTGTGTGTGTGTGTGTGTGTGTGTGTGTGTGCGGGATGCGTGTGCAGCTCTTCCCAACGAGCATGAAAGTTGGAGGGTGACTCGGCGAAGGCTGAAACGCTATGAGGGTAACGAGCGATAGAGAATCATGCCAGAATGGACACCATTAAGATGCTACTCATGAAGAAGGACATGCTGAGTGAAGAGTAGTTTTACGTGGCGAAGACCGCCCTCGCTATCGACAGTATACACAAGCTTAGATTCATCAGAGGTTATATGAATACGGCTATTAAACAAGGTTCCTTGAAACACAAACCTGTGTATAAAACCGAGCTTGTTTATACTATCGATGGCAAGGGCGGTATCTGCTACTTAGAACTGTGCTCATTTCTCTCTTAGCTTTCCTTATTGTTTATGAATATCATATCTCCTCAGAACAAAACTCTATGAGAGTACCCGTAAGATAAAGTTACTTGTGAACAATACAAACTTGTGTATAAATCCTTGGATTTTCAATGCTTGCATTGTGTATACTGTCGATGGCGAAGACGGTCTCCGCTACTTAGAACTGTGCTCATGTCTCGCTTAGCTTTTCTTTATTCACGAATAGCGTCATCATATCTCCTCAAAACAAAAACTCTATGAGAATGCCCGTAAGACAAGGTTACCTATGAATAATACAAACCTGTGTATAAATCCAAGCTTGTGTATACTGTCGATAGCAATGGCGGTCTCCGCTACTTAGAACTGTGCTCATGTCTCGCTTAGCTTTTCTTTATTCACGAATAGCGTCATCATATCTCCTCAAAACAAAAACTCCATGAGAATGCCCGTAAGACAAGGTTACCTATGAATAATACAAACCTGTGTAGAAATCCAAGCTTGTGTATACTGTCGATGGCAATGGCGGTCTCCGCTACGTAGAACTATGCGCATTTCTCGCTAAGCATGTCCTTCTTTATGAATAGCGAGATCATATATCCTCAGAACAAAAACTCCATTACAAAAATGCCCGTAAGACAAAGGTACTTGAGAATAATACACACCTGTGTATAAATCCAAGCTTGTGTATACTGTCGATAGCAATGGCGGTCTCCGCTACGTAAAACTGTGCGCATTTCTCGCTAAGCATGTCCTTCTTTATGAATAGCGAGATCATATATCCTCAGAACAAAAACTTCATGATAAAAATGCCCGTAAGACAAAGGTACTTGAGAATAATACAAACCTGTGTATAAATCCAAGCTTGTGTATACTGTCGATGGCGAGGGCGGTCTCCGCTACGTAGAACTGCGCGCACTCTTCACTCAACGTATCCTTCTTCATGAGCAGTGTCATCATATCACCACCGGGCAGGAATTCCATGATCAGGTACAGATTCATCGGGTCCTGGAAGCTGTAGTACATCTTCACCACCCACTGGTGGTCCGCTTCTACTAGGATGTCCCGCTCGGCTCTGACGTGCGCCACCTAACCAACAATTGATATAAAGTTAATAGATTTAATAATAATAATAATAATAAATATTTCCAACACTCACACCAATTAAGCCTCGCCCCAAAGTAAGAACTGTAGGCTTGTGTTATAGGATAACGACAGAATACATATACTGATACAAATATATTTAAATATATATATATATGTATATATATATATACATTGAACATCCATGACTGGAGTACAAATGTTCGTATTCATCACACAAACAGCTGCCCCCATTTTATAGCTTAAATATGAGGTTGAGATATAGGACTATGGAATAGGAATGCATAAACAATCAGAGACGGCTTCCTGTTAAATACAAAAGACAAGTCGCTTTGCTATATGCTGTGCTGCAATAAAATAATATAATGTATACTAAACTATATATACTACTAAGAGGTTACTGAGGTTGTAGGGGTATCTGTGGTCCTACTGAATCGATTTTAAAAACTCTTTTACCAATAAAAAGTTACATTATTTGCGAGTGTCATAGCCTATATATTAGAGCAAAAATTATAGTCTATACAGAAGCGAAGCGAGGGCGGATCAATATATAAAATGTGAACAGGAACAAGCGAATACGAATAATATTAATCCAAACAATACACGTGTTGCTATGAACGATTTTTTAGACTGAAACATCAGATTACTTCGCACTTTAGATGCGTTTTCGTATAAATTCTATTCAAACGTACCAACATATTTTTCTTTTTTGACGCAGGAAATCGCATGCCGTGTAGGCAATAAATTTGCACAGCCCATACAATAGGGATGATGACTAATTTTTTTTTTCTTCGTTTATCAGGTAGATTATCAAAAAGTATTGGACACGTATTTTTTCTTTTTTCACATAATATAAGCATTACAGAGATATATTGATTTGAATAGTCGCATGACGTCACGTTTGTGTACACTTATAAGTGAAAATTCACTCAAAAGTGACGTCACGAGCCCCTACTCCCAAACTTTGACGCGCTATAACTTTGTCATTTTTTGATTGACTGCCCAAAGAAAAAATACGTGTCCGTTATTTTTTGATCATCTAACTGACGGACTAAATAGAATTTCGTTTACTGTACCCCGTCATCACCCCTATTTATTTTAACGAAAGATTACAATTCGTACTCAGACGCAGTGCAAGTCAGCAGAAAAGTCTTTATTTTACACATCGAATTTTCTTTTTTTACGCAGAAAATCGCATGCCGTGTAGGCAATAAATTTGCACAGCCCATAAATTTATTTTAACGAAAGATAACAGGCTTTCTAAATATTCAATTCGTTCTCAGTCGCAGTGCAAGTCAGCAGAAAAGTCTTTATTTTACACATAGAAGTAAATAATTTAAAATCCTTTTCACAGCCTAACTTATAAGGCAAAAGAAAAAAATGAGATTACATGAGTGAACGAGCAATTTTTTTCATCATCAGTAGTGAATTCAACCATACAATATCCCCACTGATGGGGCTCACTCCTTCCCTGTGTATGAAAAAGAAAGATTGGTCCATGACGGACCATGCGTGTCTAATGAAATTTGGTGGGTGCTAACGAAAGCAGATGCAACCGGGACTAGGGCTGCCATCTCTAAAATGTGGCAACCAGGATAATATGCGTGATAACCCCGGATTTTGAAGCCCACAACCCGGACAGACCAATAAAAAAACAATTAAAAATGTCACAAATCAACTCTTTTATGTTGATCTAGGCAAAAGAGCTAACGATCTACCTCATAATAAGTGGTCACTGCTACCCATGGACCTTGCAGCACCAAGGGCCACTCATGCGTTGCCGTAAATTTTTAAACCCGGACTACAAATAAAACCCCGCCCGGACGCTCCCCGGACGCCCCGTAAACTAGGACAAATCCGGGGAAACCCGGACGGATGGCAGCCCTAACCGGGACCAACGGCTTAACGTGCCCTTCGAAGCACGGAGAATGTCGAGGTAAAGAATTTTTAGTCACCCATCTGATGAATATCCATTGTTAAAGTTGCTAAACGTCCACGATCGCAGATCGAAAGTGCTAACTGCTTGCGTTATCTGGCCCATCAACTAGCAATAAGAAGCAATGAGGGCTACCGTTTTTTGCCTCACCAGATGGCGCCACTGTTGAGTGAGGTCCTAAATTGTAACTTTTAAAGTTTATTAATACGCACATGAAATAAAAGGTTACATTTAGATCGTATTTTAACACAAAAGAACCATATCCTAAACATAATAGGCCATGCCACAGTGACGCGCAGTTCCGTTTTATTCGGAAAAAATGGGAACATAATCATTTTTCTAAGCTCAAATTTTTAATAACTGACATTCATTGCCACATGACTCATATTTGCCATAATTAAGCCGAATTGTTACCAATTATTCACAACATTATTTTAATAAGAAATAAACCCGCGTAGACAACCAACAAGCAATAACATTTGACATTTCGGAGACCTCACGCTACACTAGCGCCTCTAGCAGACACGTTACGAATGTTCATATTCGCGGATTTGCAAAATATTGACATAATGAAGCAATTCGCATATTGACTTTTGAGAGCGCATAATAAATCGCATTTTACATTAATAACGCTTTGCATAGGATGCTCTGCTGATACATTCTGGGAGCAAAGCGTTCTTATTATCTCTTAATTTATAAAAGGACAAAAGCAGAGCAATCCTCTTATTTTATTAGCCTCTTATTAGAAGTAAGAAATATAATAAACAAAATACGAATAATAAATAACAAAAACCTTAGCTTGATTATAAAAATCATTATCAGCAAAACACAGTCGCCAGTTCTTAATATGCTTTCTAAATATTCACGTTCGTATATTAACACTTACATTGGAATAGTAAATTAAAAACTACTAGGACAAATAAAAATGAAAGCTAATAAATTTGCGATATATCGAGAACATCATGTCCATCATTTAACATAGGTATATAGTTTAATAGTTATTAACTAGCAAACCAGTGAACCAAATGTTCACCAAAACATGATTTAAAAAAAATGTATTTAATTAATTGAGAACTTCGGAGATTTTGTGTGGTTTCGTTTGAAATTCGTGATTTCTCGAAAACCGGAAGTGCTACGTTACTGAAATCCGGCTTGTAGTCTTATCAGACTATTCTTAACTTATAACTTAAATATTCTCTTTATCTATCTCTTACGGTTTGGCCGCTGAAACAGCACCACAGACAGACGGACGGACGGACTTGTCTAATAGATAAGAGATGGGGAACATGACATAACACGATGAATTTCAAAATACATAAAATTTCGATAAGATTCGTACGTGCAGGTTGATACAAATTGAGTGCGCTCTTTGCGTTCAGTGCGCAGTGTTTGTAGGGATGAAACGATACGAGTAAATACAAGTAACTACTCGATACTTTTCTTTCGATACCAAGTACTTTTTGCATTGATACTTTAGAACTGAGTAATAAGTTGTATCGTGAAGTAAGTACTTGTATTGGTACTCGGTCGGTCACTCACTGAGAAGTATGTATCAAAAAAACTCATAGTCTGTGCGGAAAGAGAATGGGCGTGGCGAAAAACGGAACTAACATTAAGATTTTTATTAGGCAATGAAAACCCAGCAATCTGTAAAACGCCAAAGTTTTGTATTAATACGGATTTGTTTGTTGTTGTGATTTCTTGCGGTTTTTTGTATTTAATCATGTCTAAAAGGGGTAAAACCTTACAAATACGGTAGAAAAGCACTACAGCGCCCTCCAATCTAAATTCCATTCACTTTCATTCACAGACTCTAGGCAGATTATTTACTCTATGGTAAGGTGTCTAGTTTGAATTTTCGTTTCGCGAACGCGTCTTTTCTACTGCTCAGTTGGTAGTCTTGCATATGACTTTTTATATTTGTTCCAATTTATTCAGCCAGTCATTCGTTCATCCCGAGGCTAAAGCTGTTATTTTGTTTTCGTTTAATTAAAACTGTATCCGAATTTCTAATTGTAATATCGTTCGTTCAAATTTATCGATACAAGTAAGTATCGATACTTTTCATTCGATAACGAGTAGGCATTGATACTTTATGACCGATACAGTATCGAGTAAAAGTATCGATACCTAGATGGTATCGTTGTGCCACCATGCCATTGAGGAGCTCGATGGCGCAACTGGTTAGCGCATTCGGCTGCGATCGTTGAAGTTAAGCAACTTTCGCAGTGGTCGGTCATTGGATGGGTGACCAAAAATTTACTATCTCGAGCTCCTCCTTGCTTCGGAAGGCACGTTAAGCTGTTGGTCCCGGTTGCATCTGCAGTCGTTAGCACCCACCAATCCGCACTGGGCCCGCGTGGTGGGTCATCGCCCAATCTCCCTATTCCATCCATAGGGAAGGCCTGTGCCCCAGCATTGGGGACATTAATAGGCTGATGATGATGATGATCGTTGTGCAGGTCGCGGCAAGTAACTCTAGCGCTGATCAAAACGCGGAGGGGATAACTGCGCATGGCTACGACTGGAGAGCCAATCGGCGCAACGCACGCCCGCCCGCGCACCTCGTTTCCCCCCAACACATCTTAATTTTTACTTCTACGCAATAACGGTCAGCGCTAGAATTTCCAGACACGCGAAAGGCATTCGCAAGAAAACGCACCAAAAGTAATTCCCAAAGAATTATTGTAAATATATATTTCTCAGTAACATATGAATGAATAAATAGTTACCAACCAATCAAAATCAAGGTGGCTCTCGCTCCATTCAGATCATAATAAAGGAAAAAGCAGTACCAGCTGCTCTACGCTCTGCGAGCGTACGTTTTGTTTAACACAAAACTACACAGCTCAATTAGGCTGTTTCTGTACATTTTGAGCTTAGGTGGCTAACATTTTTTTAGGTATTTTAAAATGTATTTTCGGAAAGACTTTTAGGTTCGACAATTAGCTTCATTCACGTTATACATTTAAAAGATTTGCCGAAATTCAAGATTATGTTAAGACACTTACCTGTTCCTTTTCCAGCATGTCAGCTTTCCTAAGTATCTTCATTGCGTAAACGTGTCCAGTATCCTTTTTCTGTACAAGCCGCACCTCACCAAACGCGCCTCTGCCGATCACCTACAAACATTTACAAACGTCATAAGCTTGGAAATAAGAAGACATTTTATTTTTCATTTTTTTAACACTTGGGAACATAGAACAGTCATACACTAAATATTACTAACATTTATAATGTAAATATTAATTAGGTAAGTGAACAACCCACACCAAAGTCCACAAATTAATAATGAAAGTATTTTTTTTATTTTTTATTTTATCTTTATTTAGGAAACAAACAATGAATTAATAGTTATACCTAGATCTAATTAACAAAACATACATCAATAAAGTTTCCACTATAATATAAAACATATAAAGAAGTTCAGTTAAAATTGAGAAAGAAAAAAAAACGTTAATAATTTTACCAATAAAAATAAAAAATTTTTGTTCATATAATTATCATCTCTCTCTACCGATTAAAAAAAAAAAACAAAAAATGTTAGCAAAATCCATCAATCTATTAGATAATGTTTCTACTGCCATTTTTTTTAAAACTTTAATGTTGAGAAACCAAAGAACTCAAACTCATTTATTCAGTCTAGGCTGTTAAGCTCTCGTGAAAGTCAAACGCTACGCCACCGGTTCGTAAATCTACGGCGGAAGACCTAGTACTGAGAAGAACCTTCTGCTGAAGGCTGAATTTCTTGCCGGTTCTTCTTCTATAAATATAGAAAGTAATATAATACATGAATTATATTAATCTGGCCATTTAAGTTTAAAAACCTAACGGCCGTGGTGTCACCACCACCAAGAGACACGCATTCAAAATAATATCCGAAAATTACATTTTAAAATGCATCGCGCGAGTTATGATAAATGTTATAAGATTTTAATGTTTACAAAACAGAATCAGTTAAGGCAAGCCATTATGTTGATTAAGACATAACCATGAATATTGAACCAATGAAATCGAAATGAAGTAATCCATTAGCGTTGATTGCGTTACTTGTCGCAGAAGAATTGGACCATAATATTATTGTGTTAACAATACAAAAATAATTGGCTCTCAGCGATTGTGCAGTCACTGCCCGCCGAGATTCAATGGAATGCAAATTGCGTAGCATTAACTTAAAGAGGGAATTATGATGATGCATATTATTTGAGGCAAAAAATTGCGTGTTACATCTCAATGTATATGGAACGCATCTAATGTGCCAATATTAAAGTTTGAAAAAGTCACACCGTCACTTACATTACGTGGTCATTCACAGAACTAAAACAATTTTAATATCTACCTAAATTTCGAAATATCTAGGTTAAGTATTTCATGGTAATACAATAACATGGGCATTAATAAACAAATGCACTTATTAAATAAAACTAGTTTTAACGATGCACGAATCTTTATTTATTTATTGACGTTTCGCAGCCTTTTCAGGTCTGCATCGTCAGTATTCTGACGACGATGAAAAGGCTCAAAATACTGACGATGCAGACCTGAAAAGGCTGCGAAACGTCAATAAATAAATAAAGTTTCGTGCATTAACCCGTTAAAACTAGTCTTGTTTAATGAGTGATGTGCGTGAAAACCTAAGAAACAAATAAATGCACTAATGTTGATTTTTTTCAAGTGTAGGTAAGTATGCTTGTTGTTAACGTTACTTTAAATGTAGATAAATAAATCTTTAAGATTTTTTACCATTCAGATGAATAAAATTGACTGGCGTGATTTAAACATTATTCAGTACACATTGTAATTAAAAATATAGATTTCAAATGGTTTAATTTCAAATACCAAATGAATGATAGTTACTGGTCCAAGAAATATTTTTAGGTTATTTTTTATTGATAGGCCCGACAAATGACTCTGCCCAACCTAATGTTAAGTAACGGTGAAGTCCATGCGTGAAGATAGCTGGTACAGCAGTTCTACCTGCCACACCATCCATCCTCACCTTGACGGCCAGCATGTTGCTTCTTCACTCCTCTTTTAAAGGATCCCAGGTTACAAATAATATGAGTAGAATAATAAGAAAAGAATGCTTCAAAGATTGGTTTCCTTTAATTACAACTATGTACTTTTGTTTATAGCATCTCTTATCTATTAGACAAGTCCGTCCGTCCGTCCGTCCGTGGTGCTGTTTCAGCGGCCAAACCGTAAGAGATAGGTAAAGAGAATGTTTAAGTTATAAGTTGAGAATAGTCTGATAAGACTACAAACCGGATGTGAGTAACGTAGCACTTCCGGTTTTCGAGAAATCACGTGATTCGTATTTCAAACGAAACCACACAAAATCTCCGAAGTTCTCAATTAATTAAATACATTTTTTTTTTGGTGAACATTTGGTTCACTGGTTTGCTAGTCTCTTATCTAATAGACAAGTCCGTCCGTCCGTGGTGCTGTTTCAGCGGCCAAACCGTAAGAGATAGATAAAGAGAATGTTTAAGTTATAAGTTAAGAATAGTCTGTTAAGACTACAAACCGGATTTGAGTAACGTAGCACTTCCGGTTTTCGAGAAATCACGTGATTTCTATTTCAAACGAAACCACACAAAATCTCCGAAGTTCTCAATTAATTGAATACATTTTTTTTTTGGGAACATTTGGTTCACTGGTTTGCTAGTAATGGTTAAATAGGCTTAAACAAAGTGTACATCAACATTTTGGTACACTTACATGCTTAAACACCGTGTTCCTGAGGATATAATAATATTTATTTCACAAGCCAGTTTTACAAGAATCGTACAACACAATATACAGTATAGCTTAGAATAAACATTTATAAGCATTTATAGTATCCTCTGTGCCTCTACTAGGTACATACATTAACTTTGAATAATACTTCTATAGCTCTTGTTAAACATATTGTACAAGGAAAGTAGTAGTTTAAATAGCATAGTTTTTAAGTTATTGGTAGTTTAAGTTTAACCAACTTAATTGTGATGTGCAGTGAGAAAGAGTCTTTATCTGTGAGATGTTGCCACTTTGTGCAACCAAAACTATCAACTCTTTGTCAATGGTCATTAAGTCATAGTTTCAAAAGTCAAAATATTAAAAAACATTGTTGACGTCAAGAAAAGTTTCAAAAAGGTTTATGTGGACATGTGAACCGAAGTTTCAAATGCGACGTTGCCAGCTCAGGTAAAGAGTAATTCATATTAGATAAATTACATCTAAGCATTCAGTTTGTATGAAAATAAAAAATGTGAAAGGAATTAGAATTCATAAAAGTGTCCATAGTAAAAAATTATCAATTTAAAAGTCTGAATAACATGCCAAAGTTAGTGTATAACCTCAGGAACACGGTGTATATTAGCAAACAAAGTTTTTGTTTGTAGGTAAAGCTGAAGCGGAAAACTGGTAAAGAAATAAAACTAAATGAAGTACATACAAATTTGCAAGAAATTAATGCAGAAAATACAGGGATTAGATAAAAATAAAAAGTATTATTAACGCATTCTGTAATGATCAGATTCATTATAGTTTGCAGCGAGCCAGTTGCGAACGAAGACAATCGTTAAACGCAGTTTATGAGTCTGTGAAGGTTTTTATGTGACATTAAAGTCGACCAATAAAACAATGCATAAATGCAATTAAACAGAAATGAAATACACGTGAACCATTAACGAGATATAATATAATTTAAAAAATCATCTTGTAAGTTTACAGACATGAGTATTTTGATAGTCTTTGAAACCAGACAGTCACATACAAGACCCAGCCCCCCTAGCAATTGTCAAATTACTATAAGTTTGACAGTTAGACACGATAAAAAACTTTCTCTATATATATAAAACTCAAAGATGACTGACTGTCATAGTGATCTATCGACGCACAGCCCAAACCACTGGACGGATCGGGCTGAAATTTGGCATGCAGGTAGATGTTATGACGTAGGCATCCGCTAAGAAAGGATTTTGACCAATTCTACCCCCAAGGGGATAAAATAGGGAATGAAAGTTTGTATGAAACAATGTCAATTTTAAACCGATCGGGCTGAGACTTTGCATTCTTATACCTGATAAGAAGAATCATAGATGAATGTCGTTGTGAATAATACAATCCTCAGAACAAAAACTGTAGTCTACACTTCAGCTCTACACCGAAGAGAAGCGAGGGCGGGCACCTATTAAAATATAAATTGTGGTGCTCATGCTACCGGGGCTGGAATTCGGTTACAAAATGTGCTTTGTAATAAAAAAATCAACAGAATAACGTTGATTACTGATGTATTGAAACAGAAAACTTTTTCAAAATCAGAATAATGAGGTTTTTGGTACAGGTCGCGGCAAGTAACTCTAGCGCTGAACAAAACGCGGAGGGGATAACTGCGCATGGGTACGACTGGAGAGCCAATCGGCGCAACGCACGACCACCCGCGCACCTCGTTTCCCCCCAAGACATCTTCATTTTTACTTCTGCGCAATAACTGTACCGCAACTTATACGCACGAAAGACAATTTGTTCTAGCGAAAAGGTTAGTACTTCCTCCGAGCTAGGTGTCTATTGCTCGGGGACAGTCAGTCCAACTGTACATAGGGTATTTGACAGTATTAAAATGAAGTGCCAATTCTTAGCATCTGTATTAAGTTTGAATATTGGTAGGGGTTTATACTATTTTTACAGAAAAAATATTTATAATTTTACTAAAAACCGACAAAAAATATAACCGTTTTTTTTTATTGTCACGTGACCGAAAACGCCTGGGGATGGCGGAGCCTAAAATGACGTCACAAACTAGTAAAATACTGGTTAAAGTGACATTACATTGTATCGTTTGACGTCACATACCAGTGAGATACCATATTATCCAGAGAAACGTTTTCGCGACAACTTGAAAAATATTTTTCGATTTAATTAATTTAACTGAAATACACAACAAAATGATGAATTACCAATTTTTATGGACTCCCTAAACATTAGTAAATAACGAGAGATCGTTTTATTTAACTTGTCAATTACCCTATTGGAATTATGTTTTTGTTTACCTACACCCATGATATTATCATAAAAGTTCTCGAAACAAAACCAAGTGTAAGTAACATCAGCGTTCTAAGAACTTAAAATTCATGAAAAG